GTTATTATTCAAAAATTTCCCTCAAGACGAAACCAATAATCATAATAATTTTTGATAATCGCCAAATTGAAGACTGAACACACTGTGCGGCGATGACTATTGATACGACATTGCTTGGCCGGAGCGCAGATTATTCAGTGCACGCTGAATAAGTGCCAACGACCAAATTGCTCTTAACATTCATTCTGAATCTCTTGTCGAACATTAAACATCCGCTTTTGTACACACCAGTGTTGTTGTTTTTTTTTTTGCATTTTCTCTTCATTTCGTGTACACATAGAACCGAACAGAATTTTTGCCACTCTGGCTCTTTATCGCATTTCGTGTGTGAGTGGTTTTATTTGGTTTGTTGTTGTTGATTGTGTGGAGGTTTAGAACAAACGCACGCGAATTCTATATGTTGATTTTTTTTTGTGCTCGTTTACTTTGGTTTTGTTATTTATCTCGTTCGCATAATGTTTTCGCATTCTCTCTGTGTGTGTGTGATGTGTGCCTTTTTCACACAAATATCGTATAATATATTATTTGGCGCGGCTCTGGTGAAAGATTTCCGATATTATGATATTTGCATTTAAATGGACACAAAATATAATACGAATGAAATCTCGTAATGATACACACATGGTTGTGTGTAATATTATTTACACTCTTTCCAACCCGTTCGAATTTTTCGCTCGTAAATACAAACTTTGTTTAAACATTTTAGTTTGCTATTTTGATTTGTTCCTGTTCTTTTTGGGTGTCACTCTTTTTCTTTAAATATAAGATAAACTTCAATGAAGCAGAGAGCATGGAGAAAAAGCACGGGAGAGAAAAAAAGTGTGTTTTCTTTTTTACTACTTTGTATGGTGTTTGCAAGTCTCTTCTCATTCGTACTAAGTGTCATTTCTGTATTCTTTATTTATATTAATAGATTATTGACCTAGGGCATGTGACGCATTGTGTGTATCGTGCTTTGTATATAGACTGCACATTTCACTGACTATGTGTACTACGACTAGAACATCCGACTGGAACAGAATTGTTTATTTAATACGCTCTTTCTCTCTAATTTTTTTTCGTGTGTTTTGAGATTTTTTTTTCGTGTGTGTAAATATTCACGCACATCATAATTTTCATTCATTATTTTGTTCACATCATTCGCACGATTCGAGATTTGTGTTTCTCTTTGATGTTCAAGCTTTCGAAATTTCAGAATTCATAATAATCCGTATTTACGTCGAAACTCCACTAATTTACAACAGTAAAACATTGATTAGAGAAATTTTTTTAACTCGAAAATGAGTTTGTCTATGGCTTAAAGCGCGCTCAAAATTTAAAGCAAAACATAAAACTGATTTCTTCATTATTTTTGTCAGTTAATCGTGCATGGGTCGAAACGTGCGGGTGATTCATTTGCCGCTGGTATGTTATTTTGTTCGCATATATTTTATCGAATTTCACACGGGCACTGATAAAAGTAGAAAAACATTGACGTGGTGCCGCTGTACAAATAAAATTTCGAATCGGGATAGGATGGATACGTTTTATTATCAGACAACAACAAAATATTGATTAATATGCTTGTGTTCGGTGACAGTTATTAGTCATATAGATGGAAGAGAAGATATATTTATTATACGACGATTGATATTGTTTCTTGTCAATGTTAAATCAATCGATTGGAGTCAATATTCTGTGCGCCATCGCGTGGATTGCGGTAAGAGGACGGTCATATTCAATAACACATTTTTTTCCTCTATACCACACTCTCTCCGTTGATTGTGTCATTTCAATTAATAATTACGCGCTTTTTTTTGTAACTCGATCGAATCGAACTAAATTCAATATTCATCATTTTGAGGGAAAAACTTCAAATCAACTGCGATTGTGCTTTTAATTTTCACTACATATTTATAAATTACTAATTTTAGCCATTGTTTCTTTTTCTGTTATCATCAATTTTACGCATACTATTATCGCGTACAACTCTTTCGTTCGTTCTAAGCGAATGTGAGAGAGAGAGAAACCGGTGTGTTGTTTATTTTCTTGTCATCGTACACGTTGTATTTACATGAACCAAATATTCTAGATTGTATAAAGGAAACAGAACGAACGAACGACTGAACATATAATAATAGAAGAAAAAAATACACATTCTCAATATGGATTTATAGTTTGAGAACATTCAGAAATGTCTGTGCGTATGTGATACGAGCGCGGAGCGTGTATAATGAAAAATGTGACGGATGTTATTGAACTCTATTCTGCTCTCTCTCTAGAAATTAACATGAAAAATTTAATAATTTTGTAGTTCTAATAACTTTGGACGATGAAATTTCTGGTTTCCATTTTTTTTTTGCTTCAAACGTGTGAAAATGACACGTCAACCAAAAAGAAAACGTATCGAGAAATAAATGTTTCGGAATTTTTCATTGAGTAAAAATTGAATTGTTCCCTTTAAAGAGTGTAAGTTGTTGAGATCAACAGATTCGACAATACTCTGAAAGGTAGAAATGCATTTGCACACAGCTGTCGACACAATGGCATTGGCAATAGAAAGCAGCGATTGAAAAGTGGTCCAATTTTCGTTTGTATTACTCGGCCATACGAAGAGTTAAAGTTTATACTTGGTCGATTTAATGCAGCTGCAAGTACAACCTTTTCGATCGACAAACTCGGTTCGGGATCGTTGTGTGTGTGTGTGCTTATTTATTTGTTTTGTTTGATGAAATTTGAGGTTTCTAGGTGATGTAATGTTACTATATGAACGGAGTACCGTTCTGAATTGTCAAAAGGTACACAACAAAAACGTTGCTTATGTTCCGTATTTCATACAAATGTCACACACTGAACCACATAAATATATCAAATAAATGCTGATGATATTTTCTCGGTACTAATTTTTGTTGAACGAAAAGTATTCGCTTGAATTCTGACGTTGTTTATTTTGGCGAATCAAAAATATATCTTTATAATAACAGCAAGCCATCGAAATCTATATGAAAAAAATATGAAGTAAGAAAATAGATTCGATCGCTGCTCATGCTGTGTTCATTTATTTACTCTCATTATAACTTCAATTACATGAAGATCCGAAAATTACATAATGGCGACACAATGGACAGCATTAACCTTAACGACTTGCTATTTAAAAAGGCTCTTCCTCTCTTTTGCTTTTTTTTTTCTTCCCCACCCTCTCTATCGATGAAAAGAAACACCGAAGAAAACGGAGATTTTGTTGGCAACCGAAAATATTTTCATTTTTGCGTTCACTTGATGGGCGGATTCCATTAGGATTTGGCCACGAAACAAATTTTTTTATCTTAAAGTCACATTACTTGGATTACGAAAATGATTCCATAGCTCTTTGCATAAACAAAAGATGAAAACATTTTTGTGCTAAAATGTCTCAATGGAATCTGATGAGAATGACGACATTTAATATTATCAAATTACCCATGTTTATAAGATTAATATAAGAGCACAGCAATGACAATGTGTGTATAAAGCGCAACAACGAAACGAAGAGAAACAATAAAACGGTTCTGGCCTGTATTTAAACGGAATCGAATAAATTGAGTGGTCGTTGCAATGTGACTGTTTTGTTTGCAGATTTGCCGTTTTTTTCTTTCTTTCTAAAGTGTAAACATAAAATGATCGTCGCCGACTAACGACTTCAAATGAATTTGTATCAAAATACACAAACCGATTCGACTGTGCATTTCATATTTCCAGTCGGTGCAACAGAAAATGAGGCTTTTGAAGTGAAAACAAATCGTAGATTTGTTGTTATTTGACTTTTTTCATAAAATCGAAGTCACAGCAAATAAATAAAAGAAATAAAGATGGAAAATAAAAACAAATTGAATGGCCTAAATTTATGGTGACCGTTTACTCATTCGGTCCCAACCGAATCGAATTGTTTTGATTGCATGACAGATCAAAGCACAAATAGCAATTATTCACTTCTAAATTGCACACAGACTTGATTGAGATCAGAATAAACGAAAAACATACAATTTTTCCATCGAATATTAGCGCGCAAATAAAAGGGAAAATTCAGTGCGGCCTGTATGGATTTTCCGTGCACACACACACACATGCCACTGTGAGGAAATCATGCGAGGAGGAGAAAGGAAAAAAAATCGTCGAATTTAAGAGAGAGAGTTTTGCGCATAAATTCCAAGGCCAATTATTGTAGCACGCACACACAGAGAGAGATACAGTGAAAAGGAAAAAATATCCGGCCGGCAATGCGTTTCAAGTGCGTGCTTCCTTCAAATAATTCAAGATTAAAAACGATGAACAAAAAGAAGAGGCCACTTTTCGCTTCTGTGAAAAGTAACATGCACAAGAAATCGAATGGAACTGACATGCCACAATCTCCACCGTCAAATGATAACACATTCACATGCACACGATCAAAATGAACGGGAAAAAAATGACAAGAATATATGTAATCCAGATTTCGCGCGTAAAATTTTTCTCAGAACAACGAAAAGAAAAAAAAAACACCAAACAGTCAACATAACAGTTTTAACCGATTTACTAAAACAAACACAACAACTTAATGTCGAAAAACACTTGATTGTCAAGTTTAACCATTTTTCTATTGCATATAATTCACATGATTATAGTCTCTTTTTTTTTGCCATGAGAAAGTAATCGGATCTATGTTTAAAAATTTTGTGCCATATAAATTTTCTCCAATTCCATTTAATGCAATTTTTTTTCCATTTCTATTATTTTTTTTAAAATCCAAATCATGGTACGATTGATAAAGAAACAATAAAAAAAATTGAAAAAACCAAAGTGAAAAATTGTCATTGTCGATGGTCGATGATAGTTTAAGAAAACGAAATAAATGTTTTTTTTTATTGTAAACTCTCAACAGTGAAACATAATGTTTGCTATTTTGTTTGTTTTTATAATAATTGTATCTTAATATAAACATTTTATGCAATTTTTTGTTGTTTTTGTTTTGTTTTTGTGTGGGAAATCATGATTAATCTACTTACACTATACTTGGAGAGAAACACATCATGAAAACCGGTACTTAAATTATCTTCAAATTCAAACATGATTCAAATTGATTGCTTTTCTTCACACTGTAATATTTCACACTGGTTATTTTATGTTTTATGTATTATTATTTTTCTTTTTATCTCGAAATGTTTTCGATTAAATTATTGTGTTTTAATGTTATTTAGAAAATTTTCCCGCGAAAAAAATCTGTGGATATTTTTAAAAAAAATGTGGACGAAATATTGATGTGATTCGAACGATACGTTCGAATGCGATGACGGTCGTTTGTAGTTTAAAAAAAGGTGTTATCAAAAGAAAATGATATTTTGTGCTTTAAAAAAAAACTCGACGTGGTAAAAAAATTGGTATTTGAATTGAATTTGTAGCTAAACTAGTGGTTTTCAATTTTCAGCGCTCGTCGTTGTCGAATACGATTCAATTGTGTTATATTAATATATATTCTCTGTGCTGACCGAATGGATATTCGTATAGAGGGCTCACAAATACGCACTACACTCTCTCCATACAAAAACTCAACTGTACCGAGCTCAATACTTAAATTGAATAAAACGTACCAACGAATACTGAACTGAATTTGAGCGCGCCACCAATACACATGCACACAAATCACCGTTTGTATCGTACGTTGCTTGTGTAGTGGTGATTAATGTTTTGCCTGCCTTTTTACATACACATACACACACACACACTCATTTGGTCGGGTCGGAAGAACTATCAAAGGGAGAAGGCGAGAAAGGGAGAGAACCAAAGAAATTCAATAGTAAATAGAATCCGATCAACACTGTATGTAATGGTTGAAAACATGAACACATGCGCGCACACTCACAAAGACCCTATGTACAAGAGAACAAAAGACATCTGCTGTGTGCTACAACGATGTAGTTTTTTTTTAATTTCATTTGAACTCTCTGCTTCTTTCGTCGGTCGGAATATCACATTCATTCGATCTCTCTGGTGCTGCTGCTGCTGCTGAGTATTCTTAAAGGCATGGAGAATTTCACCAACTTTAAAAATACATACACACACACATACACGAACATTAAGTAAATAAGTGTGTGGCTGTAGAATCGACAGCAACAGCGGTCGTTAAGCGTATACGAACAAAACGAAAACGGATCAAAACGAAACAACCAAATAACTCAGAGGGAATATGTTTATTATTTTGGTAAATGGAAATGGTACGGCAACTTTTTTTTAGGTAGAGATACGATTTTGAACATTTTTCGTTAGGTCGGTTTTTTTTCTCGAAATTTTGTTCATTTAAAACTTCCATACATATGCTTGCCTGCCTGTATACCATGCATATGTTAGTATATATTGTATTATATCCTGTCTCCTTTTGAGCACATCGAGTGTATAACACATGTTTACTTATTTTGGTATTTCGATACTTATTTTCTCTCACTCTCGACATTTATATGGAATTTTCGGTTGTATTACACATTAATACTTCGGCTATGGCACAAATCCTGTTTTTTAACATTTTTTACAACCAATATTCTATTCTTCATCCATCCGAAACAAACCGTTTGATCATTGTCTATGATAAACGAAAAAAGAATTGACTTTTCGGCGCATTTTTGGATTATATTGCAGGCACGTACAAAAAGGAAATTAAATTTTCTTGGAATTTATGAGCAAAATATAAAACAGGATATATAATTCATCGATTGAATACAATGAAATCTATAGAACTTTTCAGCATTTTAAATTAGCAAATGAAAATCATTATGAAAATACTATTTTTGGTCGCATATTTTAAATTCCGATATTCGGTCAGCGATTCGAAATTTCAAAGGGACGGTTCATTCGTTATTCGAATGAACGACTTGAAATTTATTTTGAATTACGAATGGAAAATTACCCATTTGAATCGGTTGGATACAATGAATTGGTTTGAGCATGTGCTTGCGATGTCTTAGCACGCCAACTGGCGGCCATTACGATAACTTCAAGCAGTAACACTTCGTTAATAAACGTCAAATCGATTGCAATGTTTGCTATGTGTATGTATTCTATGTCAATAGAAAATGTACAAATGTCAAAATGATGATATCTTAATCAAAAAACCACGACAGAAAGGGAAAGAAAACACTAAACTCTCAAACAAATAAGAATAAAAGAATATTTCATCAAATTGACACGCAACAATTCGAGTGAAGTGTACATTTTTGTTTGTTTCTTTTTTTCGGTTTTTATTTCATTTTACAATTCGCCACGAGAAACTTCAATTGGCTAGCGAACGGACAATGGCCTATCAAACAGTTCTAGCCGAATACATGCAAATTCCAATCGTCACCCGAATATATACAACAGCTTGTGTCATTACAACCATCGCAGTAGTAAGTTTTTATTCGTCTTAAATCGGGTCATTCATTTTGGTTATCATTTTTATTCGGTTTTTATTTAAAACATTTTTAAATTATGCAAAGTTAAATGCAAAACAATTACCAATTTCCATTGAATAATTTCAACATATTGTGCAGTACAATAACAAAAGAAAAAAAAAATAATCCACGTCAGCCTTAAGGCTTATCAATGTGTGTGCTGATTTTAAATCGAAATGAATTACTTTATAATTATAGTGTTGACACAAACAAACATGAATTTACATAAAATGCATGTTTATTTCGTTTGCACAGCATTTAGATATCGTATCACCGTTCCAACTCTACTTCAATCCAACGCTCATTGTACTCCATTATCAAATATGGAGACTGGTGACAACGTTTCTATTTTTCGGGACGGTAGGCTTCAATTTCCTATTCAATATGACATTTACGTACAGATATTGTCGCATGCTGGAGGAGGGTTCATTCCGGGGTAAGAGCTCCGACTTTATAATGATGTTCATTTTTGGTGGTGCACTTATGACGGTAAGTTTTGCAACAATTTTATCCAATTAAAAAAATGATTGATTATTGATTTTGTCTTGCCTTTGGAATATTACAGATTTTCGCCTTTTTTGTAAATTTACTATTTTTGGGACAAGCCTTCACAATCATGTTGGTTTATGTTTGGTCCCGACGAAATCCATTTATTCGCATGAATTTCTTTGGCATTTTAAATTTTTTGGCGCCATATCTGCCATGGGCCCTACTTGGCTTCTCCGTCATTCTTGGCAATACAATTTGGTGAGCAAATTTTTGTTAAAAACTCCACAGTTTCTATTGGAGGCTTAAGAAATGTCTAATTAGAATTTAATTAATATCTTTCAAACTTGATAAACAATTATTTTGTCATATTTTAGGGTTGATTTAATGGGAATGGCGGTTGGTCACATCTACTATTTCTTGGAGGATGTCTTTCCAAAACAACGCGGTGGTTTTCGAATCTTAAAAACTCCATTATTTTTGTAAGCTCTTTTTTCATGATGACACAAAATAGACTGGTTAACATTAATTTATCGATTTTGTTTTTGTAAAATTGCCTTTAAAAAGGAGGAAGTTATTCGACGAAGGTCCTGAGGATAATAGTTACGCACCACTTCCAGAAGACCGACCGGGTGGTTTCAATTGGGGTGAAGATCAAGCACAAAATCCAGATGTTCGTGATGAATAAACTAAACTATCTTCTGTAAAATAAACCGAACGCCAACTAAATGCCACAACCTTTTACACTCTAAGTGGAATATACAAGATTTTTTTTAAAAGCAATTTTATTGTTTTTTATCACTGAATGATGCATCGTCCGGATGAAAAGAAACACGGTAGACGTGCACAATTTTACCAGTTTTGTTTAATCCATTGAAATGAACCAAAAAATAATAGAAAAACAAAAGATGATGCTAAAATATGAATAAATCTACGATGATTCCGTTTTTATTGAATACATTTTTTTAAATATCGCTTTAAGTGGATCCAAGGAAATATAAAAACACAATGGAAATGATGTAATAATAAAATGAAATTTAGCATAGATTATTTATACTATTTAGAAATAAAAACAAATCGAACTGGAATGACTAATAAATTACGCATCGTATTGTTCCTTTTTTATTCATTTACCAATAAATTATTCCGCTCTTTTATAATTCGCAGTGCATAATTTATGCGTGGCGATGATTCATATGGGATTTTCGATCTGAGGGAACCGACTTTGTGAATGAAAAAAGAAACATTTCTAGTGTGTGTCAGTGGCCATATCAATGTTTGATAATTTCTGAATACGTTGTTATCAACTTTAATTGAGACGATAATGTCAACTATAGTTTGACGTTTCTGAGGAATTGTACATATGCACTTGTGATATTCTGGTCTTAATTACTCGAACTTTATTTTCAATACTCTCTTCCAAGTTATTTAAACAGTACCTACGGCTTCATTATTTTGACAATTTGTATACATTAGTATTTGTAATGATACAAATACGTCCACTGGATCCATTACTATAAGAACAAAAGAAATGAAATAAGACTCCGAAATAATTCGTATTGTTTTTGAATTCATTTACCGAAAAATATTCCAATTTCTGTTTGATGTGATGCGATGCAATGCATAATTCATACGCGACGATGCACATGAATGCCGAAACAACTCTGAGCGAAGTTGGTTGAAAAATAAATAATTGGGCTTTAGAATGTGTCACTGAATGAATCAATAAATGTGTTGTTCAATTTACATCTTCTCGTAATGCCGCTCCACTGAACTTCGTCGTGCGTCATTGTTCATTCAAAAGCGTAAGAAATTCTATATTTTCTTTTCAATCCCAACCAATTCTGATTTAATTCCAATTAAAACATGTTAATTTCAACTTTAAATGGAAACTTATTATCTGCAGGTTAAAGTTTTTGGATACGACTTGTGTATGTGCACCTGTGATATTTGGGTTTTAGTTATTTTTGGATAAAAATTTTGCCATCGATTTTAATCGATTGTTTTTGTTTTGCAACCATAACATTGTTGTGAACGTTTGGTGCTAATTGAAATATGTTTAACACCCTTTTGGAACTTTTTTTTTTATATTAAGGAATATTTTACGTTTTGGCAATGGCATCTGTGGTCAAATGCACTAATTTATTTGTTTATAAAGAACACGTCTTTGATATATAAATACAAGTGTCATTGGACAAAGCGGTCATTCTTAGTAGAACGAGAGTTTTGAAAATACATCTGCACAAATCAAAGAAAAACAAAAAAGAATCTAATTCGTTTAAATCAAGTCAAAAAAATTTTGCAATTTATAATTCAAAGGTGAAAAATGTCGACAATTGCGTACGTGTTGTGTCTATTCGTGAGTGTGATCATGCAAATAAGTTCAAGTCCATTGCCTGGAAATACACGAGCCTCAAAATCTGACCTCATGCGAAGGTTAAGAAACGATATTTGCAATTATTACACTAGCCCAGCACTTTATTTTGATGATGCACTAGATGGATATCTATTTTTGGTAAAAAGATTGCGTCAACGATGTCAGCATTTAGTACCTCCATCGGAAAAATACTCTGTTTGGGATTTGTCAAGGAAATGAAGCCAAAACAATATTTTTAAGACATTCTTTGAGTTTAGTTAATATTAAGAAGAATCTGTATAGATTTTTCCACGATGTATTTATTAAATGTGACTAGATTATAGCAAACGTAGAAAATATCGCAATAAGATGGACAAATGATTGAAGTTTGATTAAAAACTGTGTTAATTAAGAATGTAATGTAAAAAAATTCGAACAGTACTGATGAAAAATAAAAATTATTTGGATGAGATAAAATCTATTCTTTTTTCTTTCGCTCAGATGTCTTCTCCATTATTAAAAAGCCTCCGTTGCTACAAAAGGAACTTTCAGTAAAGATTTATACTTATTTTTTTTATTGGCTTCAAGTGGATTTTAACGGTGCTCGTTACTCATCAATAATTTTAATCTGAAGAGACGACATATTTATTTATTTTTTTAAATAATTTTAAGCATTAGTGGTGAGAGTTGTTGTTCTTCTTGTGCAGTTGAAACTTCTGAAACTTGTTGCTTGTTTTTCAATATAAGATATCATTTTCACAGACCAATACCTCATATGATTGTAAGACCAATTCTTCTTCACCATCTGGTATGATGCAACCAATGCCGGGAACAACTTTACCAATTCTAACATGCCCTTCGTGTTTTACGCGACCAATGTAAAAATCTCTGTGAGCATTTACTCCAGCTAAGGAAATGACAACATCAATCAAAAATATTTCCTTGACAATATGTAAATTTGTCATTTACCTGTTATGGCGTCAGCCGCCTTATCAATTCTGCCTTTACTTGCTTTAACCCATTTGGAATTACAGTCGACCAAAACTTCGTAGGTTTTATATCGATGTGCGGCTCCACCATCGCAGATGTATGCCACGCCTTCGTCCGGAATCAGTTCGCCTGGAATCCAATTACCATTGTGATTGACACGAATCACATATCGTGGACTATCTATTAAAAGAAATTGAAATCAAAAATAATATTTGTCAAGTCTTATACACAGCGGTGTTAGCACTAACGCACTCTATTTTACTCTATTTTTGGTGTTAATTTCATCCAAATGAACACATCATAGTGAAAGAAGAAATACACGTGTAGTCATAGCCGCATGCGTTCAACGTACATATGACTAGACATGTATCTCTTCTTTCACTACGATGCGTTCACTTGGATGAAATTAACACGAAAAATAGAGTAAAATAGACTGCGTAACTCATTTTGAGGGGTAGACTCTCTGCTAACACCGTAAGTGCGAATAAGCGTACTCGGTTATTTGTTTCTGTGTAGTCATACAGCTCACCTTCTGTACTGGCGTTGACAGCTCCTTCGTGAACTTTAATAAAATTAACAAAAACAATTTTTTTTGAAACTTATCGAAAAAAAAATTAAACTTGAAAAAATACCATATCCGTTTGATGCGGGCAACCAATGTGATCTTTGTTTTACCATCAGACCGGACAACCCTATTCCACAACAATATAAGAAATCATTAAGAGTATATTATTCGTGCAAAAAAATATAAAGAATTAAATTCTAACTTACAATTTCCCATTTTCTTGAAAATTATTTAAAGTTACAGACAAAGGAAATAATCGTTGAAGTGACTGAAATCAATTCCAATGCATACTATTCACGAAAAAATTGGTATTTTAATTTCTGAATGTTTGCTTGTTTATTTCGATGCGTCAATACGTAATAATACGATACAAAGTGTATAAAATGTGTATATTTCGTGTTCGAGTTGTCAGATCAACGTAAAACATTGACAATGTTCCAAGAGTTTTACCACTCCAGGTAGATATTGCGATTCAGATAGGATTGAATTCGTGACTTTAAGCTAGTCCAATGGTCTCGTTTATTCACTATCAATGGCTGTTGCAATTTTAGTGAATTTGCCGTTGAACTGAAATGACAGCATTTGTGTAGCGCAAACAATCGTCGCAGAATCATTGCTAAAAAATGTTCAACACACGAATGTGTTTAATTGACGTTTGTTGTTCACAACAACTTTGAGGTTAACCGTGTTTCACTTTGATTTGAAGGACAATGTCATTATACCCAAGATGTAGATAATTCTACGGGCGCAGTTTTAAATGTTTGGATTTTCTATTGTTTGAACTCGATGAGAATGTATCTTCCTTGACTTAAGGGGCTTCATTCAAAATTTTCAACGACTGAATTCTATAATAATATCTAAATTAACTGAATTTTTCAGCAAACGAATGAATTCCGGTGAATTCTACGGCGATTTCATTGAAATATGTGAGATAGTGGTGAATAGTTTCTGCTGGCAATTACTACAATATTTATATTTTGTGTAATAAAATTGTAAATGATTTTTAAAATATTTTTTTGCGATTTTCTATCGAAAACAATCGGAAATATTGAAAAAATAATAAATTAAAAAATATTGCGTTTATCATAACCTCATTTTATTACTTTGACACATTTCATTCTATTCACACGAATTCACCGAACTCGTCAATAACCACTCGATTCAAAAGTGATACAAATTTTATTCTATTTTTTACAACTTCGCTAAGCTGAAAAATGACATACGATTCAAATCAGCCATGCGGGTGTTTTTGGTTTTGTTGAAAAGTCAGCTTTTGCGAAGAACAATTTCTGGCGAATCTGGCGCATTTCTTCTTCTTGATCATTGCTTAGTGGATCGATATGAACATCATCACTCAAGTTTATCAACATAAGAGACGTATTTCGGTGCGGAAGATAATCGGTTTTGACCAATTTCCAAACCATATTTAAATGTTTATCCAATTTGTTGAGACCCTCAATATCCTTGTCGATTCCCAATCTGGGGAATTTCATTGAATCTATTATACTCGAACTGTATCCATATTCTAGAGAATATTAAGTGATGTTTCATCAATATCGCTTACCTGCATCTTCTATCTTACAATTTTCTTACCGATGAGTTCATAGCAAAGAATGCCCATGTTCCATAAATCAACATTTATTCCATAGTTATTGCTCGGGATAATATACATTCCGAAATCCGCCAGTTTTACACGTTTATCAGAATTTACCAAGATATTCTCCGGTTTAATGTCGCAATGAATTACACCCCGCCCGTGCATGTCCACATTATTGATGCTGCTCTTTTTTCAGGGAATCGACGATACGGTAGTCGTGTAAATTTATCACGAATCGTTGTTTTCATGTATTCCAAAACCAAGTAGAAATGGAGAATATCTTCAAAGAAATTGAAGCACCGTACAATGTTTGGATGATCCAGATCTGATTGAATTTCACTTTCACGGCGAGCACATACTTCCAATCCTTCGCTGAGCATGCGATTTTTGTTCATTACTTTTAATGCACATTCATTGGTTTGATTGGTTGAATTCGTTTCTTTACTACGCACCAAATAGACTCCATATGTACCTTGAGCTAAAAAATTTATTACATCAAAACCTTCTAATTTTAAACAGTCCATTTTTCTTTTATCAAAATAAGTATACGCTTTCTTTACTGCTTAATATACTGATATACGCAAGTACGAACTGTTCGATGTTCGATTGAAACTTTCCTTTTGTTTTATTAACCACTGCTACGACTGCCGATTTTATCTTTTTCGGTTGTTTTCCTTGTTCACTGCTCGGTGGATGTTAATCCTCTGAAATTTCCATGCAACTGGCATTCAGTGATAAGGCCCCATCGCTTTCGGTGGAGTTTTCATCGGTTTTGTTTTCGATTACCTCCTTTTTCTGCTCTACAACGTTAGTCTGTGGTGCGTTTCTTTTTGTCACACTGCAGTATTTGTCGTACTCATTTTTTTTAAATCGCACATCCGCACATAAATAAAATCATTTTGTTTGATTGATTCTTTTTCGCTCAAACATTACTTTGTGTTGATTTAAAAAAAATCAACAAATTATTGTGCCCCCGCTTATTTGTCGTCGGCTCGCTTGCGACGATTCGAAGGACCATTTAATTTACAATAAGACGACCGTTGGGTTTGGTGTTTAAAGATATACTGATTCATTCGTTTCATTTTTGTTTTTTTTACACCTCGCATTGATGCGAAGTGTCAATTCAGGTGATCCGGTTTAATCCGGTTAAAATTCTTAACAGTCGTCAACGTTTTGCACAAAATTTGTTGAAAGTAAGAATTGCAACGTATGACTTACGGCACAAAACAAATGAATTGTACAATCTTCAAATAATTTCAGTTCTCCCAGGTTCAGTTTGTCATCATCGTCAAATTTACAAATTTCTGAGACGCCATGTTGTTACTTTTTTCTGTTTGTAAAGTATATATCAAAAACCAATTTATTTGAATATTCTATTGCCTTGTTTACATTCATTCAATTCATTTTTAATTTGACCACCATTAAACCATTAGACAAAAAACGTACGCAAAATGACACAGTTTAAAAATGAACTCTATTAACGCAATTTTTTATTATTTTATGTCGCAGTGCAAAACAGTAAGATGCTAACACAACAGTAGCATGCATAGATTCTGACCAGGAGGTCCAGGGTACAAAATAACCTCCTTTATCAAAGACGCGTTTAAAGTGTACATGATCCAGCACATTTCTAGAATGGATCAGAGTCCGAACTACAATCAACATTCTGGAAACTTTGTGCTCTGGTGGTATAGCCGCCTAATGAGATATAAAGTAAATGTTGTTCATGGGCAACACATTTCATGTATTCATACACTCTTATTCTTAAAATTTGTGTGTTGTTTTAATGTAACAACTATGACGTCAAATGATTTGATTGGCATGAAAATCGCCAATAACTTGCACTTTGTGCTATGACGTCCACCTCGACGGTTCACAGCGTGCCGGCGAGTATTTGAAAAAGTAAACAAACAACTTGTTTTCAATGCACAGAACTTAGACGTAATAAAACTTTCGACCAAAGAAAGGTTAAGTTACATCACTGCGCCTCGATTGCTATTTAAATACTATTTGTTTCATTGCCAAAAATAAAATGTTCAATGAATATCGATCATTCGGTGCGATCGCTTCAAAAACTCTCAATTAATTAAAATTCTATGGCACCTGTGCCACAAATGTGTTCGAAAGAGTAAAACAGATAGCTCTATAGTTGCTAACAATAGAACGACATTTCACTAATTCTTCTACTAAATTTAAAATCCAATGTAATAAATAAAGTTCATTGATTAAACATTTAAAAAAAAAATCATTTACTTTTTCTGAAAATTACAAAGATAAACATACTAATCATTGTGATTATCGCATTTTCTTCGGTTTTTCGACTAATTTGCGCATCTCTTCGATGTGTTCGCTTTTAATGCGATCAATTCGGTCCAATAACTCGCGTTTGGATGATGAAAGGTCTTCAACATTGCGACACAATCGATTTGAATTCCTTATTTCAGCATGCAATTGCATCTCCAGTAAATCTCTTTCCTGTTTCAATTCGGCATATTGTTCCTATTCAATGAATACGAAATGGTTTTTCTTCTTTAAAAACAAACAAAGTAAAGTTGTGATGATAAATCTTTACCCGTTTTTCTCTGAATTGCTTATCCAATTTTTTAATTTCATAAATTTTATCGTTCAGTTGGATTTCCAACCTTTCGTTTTCATATTCGATTTTCTGTAATCGTTTGTTGAACTGGTCTTCTTGAATTTTCTTGTCGGCTTCGTAAACCAAACCCAATCCACTGTCATATCTTGAAATAAAAAGTCAATTCTTAAAACTTCAATCCAATAATATTAAAAAAATGTTCTTACTTTGACAATCTAAATTGAATGCTCATTGTGATAGTTTTGCGTTGATTGAAATAGAATTCGCAATGAATTTACACTAAATTATTAAATTTAATTAAAAAGGCTCTTCTTTCAAAAGGATATTCTTTCTCTATTATAAAACACGATCAAATTTTTTTGATTTGTTTCAGATCTCCGATAGCTTTATTTGGGTAAAATGTCGGAACGATGTGTCTTTATTGAATTTAAAATGACTACTTAAAGGTTTTAGAAATGCACTTCGTATATATTGAGTTTGCATTGCCGAAACAGCTTACATGTACAAATTTATCAACAACAACAAAAGCAATTAGACATCAACCTTTTGATCATCAAAACAAACGGTCAAACATATGTATGTGTGAAATATACAGTTTATTTATGCTATACACTTGAGCCCAAATATAATGCTAGCTATCAGCTCAATGTGTGGTAACGTACTATCCTCGTTGACTGTGTAAAAGTGTGAAAGAGGGGAAAATATGCTTGTATACAATTAAACCAACGTTGTACTTGGATATTCAAAACCAGCTGAGTTTAGCTGCTATTTGTTTAAGAGTGGAGAAGAGAAAAAGTGTCTGTAATATAATAAAGGTCTACATTTTTTAACGAAAAAAATATTCATTAAAACTTCTACTTTATAAAAGATATGCAAAAGTGTCATGCTTGTTAAGTAAACTCATTTAAGAAGTCATTCAATTTTGCAAATATTTCCTTTATCACGTTTAATATTTAAAAGAAACATTCGAAAAAAAATCGAATTTGATAGTTTAGCATTCAGTTCATTTATTTTTAAATAAGATTTGGAGATTTGAAAAATAGTTTGTCAGTTGGATATGTTACCATTACAAAAAATAAATAAAAAATAGTCCAATAATCGATTGATTTTATGAGAATGTTGTAAAAGTCTGTTCAATATAATCTTCTGGCTAACATTTTTTGACGTAATTCTTCAATATTTTGACTGCGGTTCATTATATCTAAAAGTTCATTTTTCGTCCATTGCAGATTATCCACATCTCGAGTTAAACGATGTGTATTCCTTAATTCGGACTGTAATTTCATCTCCAGAATGTCCTTTTCGATTTTGATTGCAACCAATTGTGCCTTAAAAGTGAACATTGATTAGTTTTTATTCCTTATATAGTAGATTTGTGCAAAGTGGTAAAGTACCTGTGTATTTTTAAATTTGTCTTTAAGTTTGTCGAGGTCTTTGTCTTTGTTTGTCAATTTGAGTTCCAACATTTTGTTATCATTTTCGATATTCTTCAATTGACTTTCATATTTGTCCTGTTGTAGTCGACGTTGTTGAGTTTGTACATCCATTCGCTTCAGCGCCCTTTCAAAAATGTAGGATGCACCAAAATGATCATTATCTGGAATGCCATTGCTCAAGTCAACTAACTCATCATCACTAAAAAATAAAGCGTATTATTTGTTGTTTAAATAGTTAATTTTTCTATTACGCAGTATTTAGCGCAAAGTGACATTTAGTCGACATGTGATTAACACCTTAATAGTCAATCAAATAATAAATTGTGAATGAAAGAAACTTGTGTTAATTGCAAATAATTTCTCTGAATGAATATTTGAATCAATCTGGAATGAAATCGAATCGACGGATCGAGGAATGCGATTTCACTTTTTCCTAGATGCATTTTTTTGCTTAAAGTGAACATTAGCCTTAAGAACTAACATAATTGTCACATTTAGTTTGATGACCAAGTAAATCAGATCAAAAACGATTCAAATCGATGAGAATGACTGCATTAAAGTGAAGTTGCTTTTCATTTACTTACTCTTCCACTTGTGTTTTTTCGATATTTTTTATTGTTTTGCCCATTTTATGTTTCTTTTAATCAGATAATTTAATAATAATTTGATAATTGAACAATATTAGGACTGAGATCTTTATCACTCCTCACTAATATTGCGACTAAATCGAAAATTCAATTCTGATGATATATTTATACTGGCAACGATCGAAAAAATTCACTTGGAATGTCAGATGAAGACAGTCTGCTTACTTTGTCTGAGATAGACATAAGAAAACATAATACAGTTACTAACTAGCATATACATAGGAAGCAATTCTTTGAATATGCCACATCAATTCGTTTATTTTAAAATAATTTTGCACCTGTTGCCAAAAGCATCAGTCGATCGACTTGAATTTAAAAAAAAAAACGTTGGAGTAGAATCACATACTCAAATATCTTCAAAAAGTATACATATAAGGACATAAACTGCATTTTTGTCATTTTAATGGTTTTTATTATCCAATATTCATTTTAAAAAAATATCGTGCGAATAGTAATTAATAGATTCTTAGAAAATTACATAAATAAAAAAAAATATTTTATGACTCTTATGGGTCATTATCATCACCCCTTCATTTCAAGGTCATCAATATATCTTTCCAGTTTCTTTTTTGCCAACTTCAGATTGTCGACCTCTCGATTCAAATGATATAATTTTTCTGCTTCAGTCTCCAAATGTCGTTCCAACAACCTCTTTTCTTGTTCTAGTTTTTCAAAATGTTCCTGAAAAATGGCATTTGAAGAGATTAATTTTAAGGATTTCATAAGAAACTAATGGTTTCTATACCTCTTTATCTCTGTACTGATAAAGTATTTGATTTAATTCAATGTTTTTGTTCTTCAACTGGTCTTCTAACATTTCTTTCTCGGCTTCAAATTCTTTTAGCTGCTTTTTAAAAAGTTTTTCCACTTTTTTTAGATCATACGATTCAGCGGCGGCTTTTTCCATAACTTTTTCAAATTTATACACGAGACCATTTTTTTTACTTGGATAGGCATGATGAACTCGTTCGCTATGAATTAAAGGAAAAATTACATTTTTTCAATAAATTTCAAATCATTTGTTCAATAGAATAGGGTCCTATTTACGAGTAGTCACGCATCACATTGCATGCCAAGTTTTATTGGCAAGTAAACGAGTCAATATGCAAACATTTAACAGTAACAATAGTCAAATTATTTGTTATGTATGATCATTATTTTCGATTTGATAAGAATCAATTTAAACGACAGATTCTTCACATTTTACAAAAGGAAAAACAAAGCACTGATCAATCAAACAAGTAGCAACGTAATATTTTTTATCATTTTTAACATAAAAAGCAACTTTAAGTTATGACCTTGTTTTGTCTTCTATTCATTTTTAAAAACTTCATAGATTCTTTTTTTGTTTAACTTACTATGACATTTTTACACTTTTGTATTTGGGGTTTTATATCAGTAGAATGAGATAAGACAGCGAATTCAAAGATTTTTTTAAATTTTCATAAGACAGCAATTGGAAGTTTTTGCTCTTCTTATTTGCACGAGAGTTGCATCTATTCAAAAAGAAATCACAATCGGAACTGAGCTGCCGTTGGATTGTTGAAATTAAAAAAAACACTGTACTGACAATGGTTAAGTAAGTGTGCACTTCCTCTTTAAATGGGAAGGTGTTTCCGTTTGTTTTCATGCATAAATCGTCATTTGATCGGTCCCAACGATCAATGAAATTACATTGTCAAACTAAGTGTTTAGCTGTAGGAAATAAACGATGAACTTACATTATATCAATCGATAACTATTTATAAATAATTTGGGATATATTCTTTTCGCGAAAAGCTTCAGTAAGTAGTATATACTACTATGGGATTAACTTAAAAGTGATAAGCGTATTTAAGGTTTCACTGTAGTCTCAGTAGATTGCAGTAGGTACGCTGTGACAATAAAAAGAGTCCAAACTTCAGAGTGAATTTATCATCGTAAGCACAACAATAGATCCTTCGTTAATGCTTCTGATTGAATTGTCGGTCCGAGGTATGAATCAAACAATTATTTAAATTAATCATCGTTTATTATTCTCTAAATGTTTGTTTGTGTTAACAATAATTGGGTGAGAGATATTAGTGACGTTTTTCCATTATTCTCCGAATGTCATCAATATGTTCACTTTGAATTTTATCAATATGTTCCTGCAAGTTTCTCTTGGTCCATTGAAGACCATCAATTTCACGGCACAATCGAATGGAATTCGCTATTCCAGCTTGTAATTTGCGTTCTAATGACTTCTTCTCTTGTTCCAACACAGCATTGCGCTCCTTAAAAAACGATTAAATTCATTGGATTTAACAAAAAAAAATCTTCGAATAAAATCAAGAATAATTATTTTATAGAGTACCTCTTGAGCTTTGTATTGTTTATTCAATTTGTCATAATCTCGATCTTTGCCTTTCAATTTAAGTGATAACATTTCGTTGTCGATTGCAAAACTATCCAATTGTCGATTATACCGTTTTTCCACTTTTTTCAAGTCATCGGATAAAATCTCTCGCATTGTTTTTTCAGACACAAAAACCACATCATCATAAATGGATGGATAGGCACTGCGAATAACACACCGTTTACTAAAGCTGAAAAATAAAATAAAATTATAATGAAAATATCTTGAGAATGATCAGTAAATTAACTAGTTCTTTTTGCATAATAGAATGACGTTTGTTCATTTATATTGGCATGCAACGATTCCGCGCAATTAATTCAATGCATTCGAATGCCAAATTTTATTGGCACATAGATTGTTACTAAGAACATATTGTTTACAAAACATAAACAATTTCGGCGAACTCGGTTCGCATTCATGTTATTTAATCTTGAAATATGTTGGTAATAAATGAAAGTTAAATGCATAACTAGTCGTTTATTTTTCGTATTCAAATCAGCTGATTGGCATACATTAAAACAATTTTGTATTTGACTTTTAGCAATAATTCTAAAAAATTAAGGATTTTGGCTTCTGTAAGATGTTGGTGGAGATTCCATTTTATTATAATGAGGAGTTTAAAAAAAATAGTTCGAATTAAAATTGATTGATAGAAATTGATTATTGATGCCATATTTTTGCAAACCACCAATTTAAACAAAAAAAAATTTATTAAATGCATTTCAATTATTTTCAGATTATATTTATTTCCAATTGGATTTTGAAAACTTTTTCGTATTTTATTTGATATTTACTTCACTCAAATATGAATAATCAAATTTATGTGATTTTTAATGTAAAAATCAATCTATTTACTTACTCCGACATTTTGATGCTTTAAATCAACGACGTGACTAGATTTAATCCGATGAATGTATAATTATATTCTTCAATAGCGTTGGAAAACTGAAAGCTTCTTGTTTGCTCAAGAGTCGTCAATGCTCTAAACCAGTAAATGCACAATTTTATATTCATGAAAGTGCATTATACCTCGTGACTCAGCAATTTCAACGAATCCTCACGAATTGAAGTTTAAAAGTCGTGCGCATGAACTTGGTTCGTCCTATGCGAATAAGATACGACGCTTGTAGTTCAACGCCAACTTTATTCAACCCGAACCTTTGTATTCGTATATATGAAATGTTTTGATTTTTTGTCTCAGGTGGCATTTAAAGAATTTATAATATGTGCATTGCATTAAGGTGCAAATTATCTGAATACCCCATTATTCAATTTATTAAAAAACAAACCTATTTTTTACATATTGAGGAAAAATTAAATGAAAAAATTGCGCAATAAAAATTGCTGATACAATCCATTTGATTTTTCATGAAATTTGAGAATAAGAAGTTTTTTTTTCCACTTTTTGTGTGTTCTATACCGAGCCTTCGAGAGTGTGAAATATTTATATCGTTAAACTGCGTCGCATATCAAAGCGAAACAAAATTCTGTTACTAAAACAAGGCAGAACAGTAGCTAGTTATCAGCACATTTTGTATAATAAAAAGTCAATGTTCTTTATTCCTTTGGTAACGAAATATTGTCTCGCTTTGATATGCAACCGTTTTGAGTCGCGTTTCGATATGCGAGTAAACAATAAGTTGTTTTTATTCTAGAACGTTCAATTTGATAAACGAAAAAAAAAAAATTAATAAAATATTCAAACGTTTAGATTATTTGAATGTACAAGAATGAAAGTGATTGAATTGTAGCTTCGCCACATGATTTTATTCATTTTCATCACCAATACAAACTTCAATAAATGTTGTTTTGGTATAACAATTTGGGAAATGTCTTCCGTGTGTTTCAACTGGACATTTTCTTTCCATCTTGAAAAAAAAAAAAGATTTGATATTTCGTGAATTTGATGCTATGTTAATTGAGAGAAATAGAAAAAAAAATGTTTTGCGATTCTTTACTATTTACAGAGCCAATTTTGCTGTTATAAATTGCCGGCGCGAATCAAGAGGAAATTTTTTGCAATTTAATTTTATCTTGTAGTGGCGGACTCGATGAACACGATAGAAGCCACGAAATGACACGTTTTCACTTGAAAAGATTTTCTCTTATCTCAGCGCGACCATATGAACTTGCTAACATTTGTTCCTTTTTTGATATGTATGAATTTAATAAGAATAAAAATAATAAAGTAATGTAAATCGCTTCAATACCGAACAAAAATGTTTATCTCTCCGTTCCAAAATTGCTCATATATGAAGCAACATGTGAATGAAAAATGTTTCCATGCAAATTTAAAAAATGAACATCTCGCATCTCCAATCTCAGGCGAATCCGGTACTTTTTTGCGAAAATTAAGATATGATTAAATGTATGTGTATGATAAAAATATATTATAAATTTGAAATGAATTAGACAAGCTGAGTTCATTACTTGCTAAGCAGTCGACCAATCACTTGAATCGTGAAAGAAATCAAAACCTTGTACCGCTTTCAATTTTTCAATAAAAGCATTATTTTAAAGCGAAAAGATGACATTTCCAACCGTACTTCAGTGCTGTTGTTGTATTGATTTAAGAGTTGGTGGATTAATAATCGGGTGGTTGGGTATAATTTGTACTTTTATTTCCTTAATTTGGGGCATAGCGAATGGACAAGCAGCAGTAGCAGCAGCTTCATTTAGTAAGTCCAACATTTGCATAAGCTTCTTCATTCAAATAATTGAAAGTGACATTTTGACGTTGATTTTCAGTTATTGCGAATATTTCAAACGTCTGTTGGCTTTATGGAATTTTTAAGGTAATACGAGTACTGTAGGTATTTTTATGAAATTATAAAATTCAATGCATTTATTTTCTTTTATTAGAATAAGTCGGCCTTTATGCTCCCAGCCGTTATTCTAACTGGGCTAGGAGTCATTTTGCTGTACATGTACTCAATTTTGTTAATTTACAACATAATTGTAATCTTCAAGAACATCGGCCTTGTTGACATTCCCATTTTCACACTTTTGAGTATTTTGTTGGTTATTTATTTCATAATTTCAGGTAAGTTTAAGAATCCAAAAAAAACTGTTGATATCCAAATTCTTTAAAAAATATTTTTCCTCTCAGTTTTTGCTACGTACTTGTTTATCGTAATACGTTCCATCTACCTTAAAATCAAAGACGATGCATCAGCTACAAACACAAGACATACATCGCCAGCTTGAATGATCAAATAATAGATTTGTTTGCCATATTATATTTAGATTCAATGAAATTATAATCGAATCGTTAACGAAATTTAATTTAAGGTGTGAATGTGAATAAGATTTTTGATTCGTTCGACATTTAAGCATATATTACATAAAAAATGGTTTTTTTAACGAGGTCCCTTGGGCCTCTCTTTCTCTAAAACTGTATTATTCAGCCAGCTCTTGGCGGTGATTAATAAATAAATAAAAATTTGAAAATTATCAAAATAAGTTGGTTTTTTTTACATTTAATGAAACTCAGTTTTATTTTCCTCAGTGTGTTTTTTCTTTTGGAGGTCAGAATACAATTTAAACTGATGATGTAATCTTTAATAAAAGTGAATCCGGAAATATAGTGACAAAACGATAATTTGATAAAAAAATTAATGAAATGTTTTCGTATAAACGTTTAGATTATTCGAATGTCCAAAGATGAAAGTGAAACTTCTACATATTGAATTGAAACTTCGCCGCATTTAAAGAATTAAATTTCAATTGATTGAAAAATTATTGTTATTAATGCAATATATTAGGTGGATTTTTTATTCTGTTGCAAACAATGGAGTGATAGTTAGCAAGTAATACAAGTATAATTTTCATAAATCTATCCAATTAAAATATCAAACACGCAGAGAGACACTGCTGCAATGTATGATAGACGCTCACTTGGATATGAGCATTGATTTGAACTGGAACGCGTTTTTAGTGATATTTGGTAACCAATGAAAAAAACATCTTTAAAACAACTAGTAGCAAATTTGAAAAAATAAAATAAATAATGTAGATTTAGGTGTATTTTTCATAATAAGTGTCTTATGAGTTAGCTATTAGCTTGGTACTAGAAAAGTGTTGTACTTTATAAAATAAATTGAAAAAATTGGATTATTTTTGTGTTTTTCAATCTATTTTTAGACTTTTTAATCCATAACACAAGCGTTTGATCATGAAGCGTTTGATCGTGGATTTTTTCAGAAACTTTAAAGAGAGTGTTGTTAACAAAGCTCAAACTACAGTAAATTGCAATATTTTTAAAATTAAGACAATGATGAATTCTTTTTATTTGTATTAATTAATTCTTCAAAGGCACATTTTACAACTCAATGCAAACAATCGGTGCAAATAAAGCTGATTGCACCTTCAAGTTATGTGTTGCGAAAGTTTTTCAAACAATTCGGAAATAACAGCAGTATCCATGGTGTTCGATATTTCACCAATAAGACACTTCATTGGAGTGAAAGGTGAGTAGATTCGTTGTGGATATCGCCACATGTCGTCAGTTTTCCAATATATTTTCAATTAGTAAATTAAATTTAAATGCGAAACACAGATTGTGGTGGATAATAGGTTTCGTGTTCACACTGTGGTTGTGTGGCTTGATGATTCGTGACGGTTGGAATTATTGGAACGAGAATCCAATGACAGTGAAAGTCGGTAAAAGGACACAAGTGTCAGCGATTCCCTTTCCAGCCATAACTATTTGCCCCCTCGTTAAAGTGTTGAAGCATGATTTGGACAGGATCAATGCACACATGTACATGAAAGAATCAAGTAGCATTGAGTAAGTAGATTTTTCAACATTAAACATTCTTTACCAGTAACAATAATAATTAATTTTAATCTAGGGCTACACAATTAAGCACATTGGCACTTTTTTGTCCAACTTTATATCGAAAATATAAATCGAATGTAGAGTTTGCGAATGAATCGATGTATCGCATGATTGAAGACTTAGCTCCGAACCAGGACTATGTAATACATTCATGCCGTTGGCAGCAGAACAAAGTTAACTGTCTAGAGTATATATCACCAGTAATAACCGATGAAGGTTTTTGTTTCACTTTCAACCCACTAAATTCGTATGATATGTACACCGAAGAGTGAGTATCACTTTTATTTTAAAATCAATTCATATTTTACATCATTATAAATATATATTTTAGAGTGGATGCTGCAATGAAGAGAGTTACAAATATCCCAAAGATGTCTGCTTGGAGCTTAGACAATGGCTATGAAGTGAATTCAAATGGCAGTGAATATCCGTTACGGATGTTTGGTTCTGGTCAAAATAATAATCTTAATATGATTCTTTCGTCTGACAAACAAGATAATGATTTCATGTGCGATTCAGGTCAAGAAGGGTACATCGTAATGCTGGATATGCCCGGCGAAAGTGCAACGAGAACGCAAGAACGAATTCGCTTCATCGCCCCACAATCTGAAAGTATAAAAATTAGAATTGAACCAAAATTAACGGATACCTCGAATGGTTTGAGTAATTACAAGCCAGCCCATCGCCAATGTTTCTATCAATCTGAACGTCAATTGCGTTTCTTCAAAATTTATACCAAGTACAACTGTAACATGGAATGTATAGCGAACTTCATTCAAATGGAATGTGGATGCGTGAAATTTAATATGCCTAGTATGTTGGAATTTAGTATGGTTTGATTTTCGGGAAAAATTTAAAATATATAAGAAATACCTTCAAAAATCGAACCATTTCAATGAACATACCTTAAAGAAGAGAAATATTGCATTTAAGAGATATTATAAGATTTATATCTTAATCTACAGGAGACAAGAATACGAAAATCTGTGGTGTGAAACTTAGAAAGTGCTATGGAAACGCTCAATTTTCATTTCAAGGGCGTACTGGACGATTGTTTCGCGCGAAATGTAATTGCATGGAAGCGTGTACAGAAATTGAATATGATCTTAAAATTGACCAGGAACCATTATTTGATGAGAATGGAGGAAAAGGCAATTATACTAGGTACTCATTTTTCTATCAATTGCATTTTAATTGGAAATTTAATTGTTTTTTTTTTTTCTTTTTTTTAAAATCACATGACAGACCACAGAAAACTAAATTGTCAATCTATTTTGAGGATCAAACAATTGAGACATTGACGCGAGTCGAAACGTATACGTATACTGATTTTCTAGCCATTTGTGGTGGTTTGCTTGGATTATTTTTGGGCATTTCATTTTTGAGCATCATTGAAATCGTTTACTATGCCACTCTTCGTGTATTTTGGGACATACACCTATCAAGACCCGAAACTATTGAGAAATCCTTTAATGAAAAACCGTTTGGTGAAAATCAAATGTCTGAGAATCGTGTGTTATGTCAGTACTTGGATTTGGATTGTATTGTTAACAAGTTTGCATTTGAAAATGATTTTTCCATCCTTTAGTTAAAGTGGTTTCGCAACCTCTTCCGAGTGTTGCGTATATTTCTCAAAGAACTTTGCATGGGTAGCAATATTCACGGCCTTCGATACATTACCGCGGACGGATTCCATTTATTTGAAAGGTTACACATTTTGTATACGATTCACATCATTAAACCGAATTTTTCCATTTTCGTTCCATCGCAGGTTCTTTTGGATAATCGCCGTTGGTGCTGTGCTGGGTTTCTGTGGCTCAATGATTCGATCAAGCTATGTTGAATGGCAAGAAAATCCAGTCAAATTGAGCATTACAGACAAATGGTCGCTCATTGACAACATTCCATTTCCGACACTTACAATTTGTCCGGCAATCAAAACACAAAGAAAAATTATAGATTTGACATCTGCAATCAAGTCTCCACTCAATTTAAGTGATAGAAAGTAAGTAATAGACTTTAGACAGAAAATCTCCATCCAAAATGATATTTTCCTAATTTTGTTTCTCAGTAAAATGTTATTAAATGCCCTGGTTCACGTTTGCCCGCTTTTGTACGACCGGATTTCCTTTAATGATAGTTTTTCAAGTGAACACATTTACGATTTAATTGAAATGATTGCGCCAACTTCAGACAATTCCATGATATTTTGTCTGTGGAAGGCTACCGCCACGGATGTTCCCTGTGGAAATATTATAGTTCCTGTTTTAACTGAGGACGGACTTTGTTTTTCTTTAAACGCTATGAATTCACATGAAATGTACACAGAACGGTAAGTTTTTTTTTAATATCATTTGAATAAATCAAATCAATTATTGATAAATAGGATGGTCTATGGAATGATGATGGTTAAGAGCAATCCAAATGGATCGTCACGTTGGAGTATGGAAAATGGATACACAAAACTATATGATGATGAGAATTATCCATATCCAGTCAAGCCTCTTCAATGGGGACGTCTTAATTATTTAGCTATAACGCTAGCAACACTTGTAAAAGACATCGAGTATCAATGTGGATTCGATCAGGGATTCAAATTAATTTTATCAACGCCTGGTGATGCAGTGCAAACATCACAAAATTATTTCCGATTATCAAATTCACAAAGGGCACTTATTCGAATCATGCCCGAATTGACAATAACCACTGATAAGTTGCGTCACTTTCAGCCATCGCAACGAAAATGTTTCTTTCAATCCGATCGACGATTGCATTTCTTTAAAATTTATTCGAAAATCAACTGTGAAGAGGAGTGTTTGGCCAATTTTACTCAAAACACTTGTGGATGTGTGAAATTCTCTATGCCAAGTATACGTTACTTTTTTGTTGGTGTATTATATTTCAAATTACAAATAGTTTTCTATTTTGCAGGAGACAAAGGAACGAAAATCTGTGGCGGTGCAAAGATAGAATGTATGAAAGAGGCACAAAGGAAATTTTCTACTACGCAGACAGGAAGGGCATTCCGTGATGAATGTAATTGCATGCCAGCCTGTACATTTGTGAAATATAAGGCATATATACTTCGCAGTCATGATAGTTCTAGTGATGAATTTTCATCTCTGGGGTAAAGATTGTTTACTTATTAGAGACAACGTGGAACGTATCAAAATGAGTTCCATAAAATTATTACGAAATCTCGAGCGAAATTTGTTTTGTTCTATTTTTTTTTAGCTTTACGACAACAAATGCTATGTTCTTTTTTAAAGACGAGTGGGTTAAGACAAATAAACGCGTCGAAGTATACACATTCGCTGAGTTCTTAGCGATTGGTGGTGGTTTGTTTGGTCTTTTTTTTGGCTTTTCAGTAGTAAGCGTCATCGAGATCATTTTTTACGCAACGATTCGTTTGTTCTGGAGAATTCGTCTGCTGAGTCGGACTGTTGCATCTGATCAAGAAGATCACAATGTTGAAATGGTTGACATGACCACCAGAAGACTCCACCGAAATCAATGTTGCGTTCAAGTCCGACCGAATGTTCGAATCAAGTTTCCGCATCCGAACCACTCCCGGACTGAATAAAAAAATACCACCTGAACTTATTTGGAGGGCGAGTTATGAAATGTCCTTTTGAAAATTGCCTTTAAATTATTTATTTTATTAAATCTCAAAAATTACAATCCAATGATTTATTTAAAGCAAAGTTTTTCAAGCAATTCAATGTCTGCATCAACAAAACAAAGAAATATAAAAAGATATTTTCAACTCTGATGAATTACAAAAACAAATAATTAATATTTCGTTTTTATAAATGGAAGATTTCCATTTAGTCAATATCTAAGCGTGCAGTGTGTGTATTTGATTCGCCTAATCCAGTTATTGCATAAATTGATGTTCCGTTTGTTCTTTCTCCAACAACATTCCCTAGAACGTCAATTATTTTTTGCATAACAATAACATACAAAATATTATGTTGAGGACCGCCAAATGTAAGACCAACGGCACCAGAAACAGGTAATTTGATGATATCAATCACATCGCCTGTCCTTAAAAATTTAATAACACCGTTAAAAGAATAATTAAATTAAATTATCATAATCCATTTACCATGGATTGATTTCCCAAACTTCACTCGTGTAGTGCTCAGCCAGAAATAGCATACCTGAAGAAGATAATCACAAAAGAAAAGAGTTAATTTAAAATAATCGACAAATAATCGGGAAATAATCGGAAACATATAATGAAAAAATTGCAAAGCAATAACCACAACCAGTCTATGTATTTCGGATGGATATCCATCCGAGATATTTTAGAATATCTGGATATTCAACGCAACTGCACAGCGCCAGAGCTGTGTGCGTCGCAAATAGAATCTACGGTATGTCGCGACGTATATGTGTATCAAGTGCCGCACGTACACAGTCACACTGTGTCTGTATTTTACGTGTAGCGACATACCGTAGATTATATGTGCGATGCACACAGCTCTGGCTCTGTGCAGTTGCGTTAAATATCCAGATATTTTAAAATATCTCGGATGGATATCTATCCGAAATACATAGATTGACCACAACAACATTAATGTCCAGCAATTGCTTTAAATTGAGATTTGGTAGTTGTAATCGTCGATTTCTGTGAAAATTTCTGTTTTAATACGATAGGGTTGGGTCCGCTGGTCACTTCCTAGATCAGAGAATGAAACCAAACAATGAATATTAATGAATAATAAGCAAATATTACAGATTCATATGAGAGAGTAATTTGAATTGCAATCAAATTAAAATGCAACTTACTAATGGAACGACCGCGGCTTAATTTCTTTTGCCGGGAAGAATACGATTGCGGACCGGTTCGTAGTTGGGGCAAACTAGAAACTGATCGATACAAATTCAATGCGATAAAAATAAAATTCATTTCACAATGAAGAAAATGCAATGCAAAAAAAACTTACCGATCCTTTGTAGTCATATTTTCCGGGTTCTGACATCGTTTTTGGTCAGTTTGTGAACGATTCCCAGTGTAAGAACTAAAAATGTGTCCATATTCCTCTTCGACATTTGATGTGTCCGATTTATTGTTCCTGCCAATGAATGAATGTTGAAAACAAAAAAAAAAATATGAAAAAAAAATCTTTAAAAAAACATTCAATTGCATATCGTAGTCTAAGAGTAGTAGTAGTAATTTTAAAATGATACTTACCGACCACTTTTTCTGGAAAAACCGACAAAAATCCAATTCGATAGAATATTTCACTTTCAATGCAAACTGAAAATTTAAGCGCAGCAATTTTAGTTCTTACACTGAATGGTTCGTCACGATGTGAATTGTTGCCGGCTTGTTGGTTTGAAATGTCACAGTCAAATACACTCTCACACCAACACATTCAAATCGGTTTGTCGTTGACAGTGGCCGATATTGAACAGCGAATGCGTTAGCTACTATGCAAAATTTTGACAATTATGGCAACAGAGTAGAATTTTAGAACAAAGTTGCTGTTGATACAGTTTTCGTTTATCCGTTTGCGTCGCCATGTTGTCGTTGTGACGTTGTTCCGATGTAATGCTACTGTGTGTTCTCTCCACTGCTACTACCAAATCTCAATTTTTCGTCAGCAATTTTTTTGCTGTCGCGACTTTTGTTTCTTTTGTATGTTTTCTCTTACATTCTAATGGTTTCCCAATCATCTATCACTCACTCACTCATCCACACACACACACACACACTCTCTTTTTATTTCACATAGATTCAGTTTCCATCATCGTCATTTGACAATCTCATACGTAATACATATATTACAATTTATGTATGAATGTGAATGACGATAATCGAAACTAATCAAAAAATAATCGTAAAACAATCAATAATAATAAGTAAGTAATTTTTAAGTGATTTGCCCCCAGTGCATACCGTTTGAGTTTATTGCCAATCCAAGAGGGAAATAAGTACTCATTGGCCTTCCATTTAATGGAAATTTAAATACCACACGGCCGTTGCCTAAAAGAACAATTCAAAATGCTTTATATTTTCCATACTCTGAGATAGCATACTTGGTTTAACCAAAATACGAACATATGTCTCCTGTTTTCGGGTCCCAGTCAAACCCACTGATAGTTAATTGGCATGAATCCAAGTGATAGATTTTATTTAGATGTTCATTAAAGACAATTCCTGATGTTGACTGTAAATTACCAAAAAGACGATCGACGCCTTTGTTTTTGATGAATCTATAAAATGAACGAGACGGATTGGAATTACAAAATTTGGGAGAAAGGGTTCCTCCATAGAAGCGTCCTTTGCTATCTGCAACTCCTATATCAAACCGCATAGATGTGTCATCAACAGTAAACAGGGTTTTAATAACTTTGGCCTTCGTTGATCGTCCGTTCCACTTGATAATTATTACATCGCTGCCGACTCCAACGGCAAAGAATTGTTTGTTGCATTTGTTACATTTTTTACACATTTTGTTAGTGGGGATGATAAATGCTGGTGATGTCACTCCTTCAATGTATGCCGAATACAAAATTTCATCTGGAGTACTGTAGCGATATATAGACGATTGATTGTCTGATGTAAAAAAGTTTACAAAATATAAACTTTGTGTATCATCATCCCAATAAATCGAATGTGAAAAGTCCACGCGAGGCGTATTTAACTGTGTTATTTCCGAGCCACGCTAAAATAAATGTTGTGTGATATACATCAAAAATATAATTGTTTTTTTTTTTTTAATATATTTACTATAACCACGAAGACAATACAACACTGATAGAATATAATCTTCAACATTCTTTACAATTCACTCCGAACTCATTCAGAACAATGACACAGATGAAACATGAAATTCGATGTGAATTGTATTAGCTTAAATATTGTGGTCATCGGTGTTTACGATCGTTTTTTGTTGGTCAATTTCCCAAGTATGTCATCTCTTATGTACTTTGATTTGATGTTTGTTCGGCTTACGGTGTAAACAAGGTCACTAGATTCGAATTTTCAGGTATATGTAACAAAAAACTGTTAACATCTTTCTTTTTTAGCGACTGAAGCAAGCAGAAAGATAAAAATAAAACTCAATGCATTTTTTGTCAATATCATTTATTTTTCCATAACTCTTTCTATATCATGACTAACAAATTTTGAACATTTTACAATCATTTCGACAAAATGTTGAATTATTATTATTTTTTGTATATCTGGGTTGGCATAATTTACACAGTTTTTGAGGCGTGTGTGTAATTTACGTAGAAGATTTCGTTGATTTGGAATACTTTTAAATGATCCAAGTCAAAAGTGTATTGGATACATTAGAATTCAAAATTAATTACAATTTTGCAGCGAAAATGCTCTAGAACCTGTATTAAATAAAAAATAAAGAACCAATCCATTTGGTTATTCGAAAAAACGTTTTTAGCATTCTTTAACATGAGAAAAGAAGAGTTCCCTCATCTTTATATATTCCACCCCAATGTATTCTACATATGAAAAATTCCGAACAATTCGTCATACCAACCCAGACGAACCCAGATTATTATCATTCATTTTACGGTCTGATCACAGACTAAATAATATTCTCAGATATCCCGTCAAATTAACTGAATTTTTTAAAAATAAACAACCTAAATATTAGGCATTTTAATTTGTAAAAATTATTATTAAAAATTAATTTTTGTTTTCATTAAATTTTTCAAACGAATCCAATTTTTTTTGGAATCACCAGATTTCGAATAATTTTCATTTGGGTTCAAGAAATGAAAAAGATAAAAGTATAATAAAAAAAAGGTTCTGAAATTTTTGAATAAATGTATTGTAAATATTTGAATATCTGTCACATATATAGACGGGTTCCAAATCTCAATTAAAAAAAAAATTGTTAAACAAATAAACTTTGCTTCAAAAATAAAATGAATATCAAAATAATCCGTCGAAAAGAAAAGTACAAAAATAAGTCGAGATTCGTGTTAAAAAAAAACAAATTCCAATCAAAATAAAAACGATCGCGTTAAATAAAAATTGTCGAATTTGTCTTGTCTTTCATTTCAATTGACGCATTTATTGGTCAATTTACAAACGGTTTTTTTCTATCAATTTAAATTGCTCTGGAAACATCCATAAAGATATATATCTTATCGAACGAATCAACCTCTTGCAAATGCTTCCCTGACCTCCATTAAGCTTCATTCTAAACTCAATTGTTTGCTGTATGCATGTATGGGTGTGTATTGTATGTGTATGAATGCAAATAGCTGCAATCAATTATTTTAAATAATCTATATATATGTATATCTCACACTAAAATATGGTGTTTCTATTTGTTTCAATCATCTTGCATCACTACATTGTTTTTGCTATTTAAGTTTTGTTATTTGCTTTCCATCTCCATTGCCGTAGTGCTGATTATACTTATCTCCACTTGACATTTAATTCGCATGCAGTCTATAATATCACTCATATTATTGGGATTAAATTTATTTACAAAAGAAAAAACTCAAAACCGATTTGAAAATGACATATATGGATATCTGTTCCAGATCTTTGGATTGATAAAATGCATCACTGAAATTGTATCATTGTGATTTTGGTTTGTCTTTTTGTTAGATGTGTTCATTAATTTGCTGATCATCACTTTTAAGAGACAACATTAATAACACTTCCATTAAATTCTATATATTCAACAAGCAGTTTTTATAATTGTATTAATATTTTGTTAGTTATGCCCGGCACTATAGCGAATTGCATTGCTCAAACGAATCATTATCAACTTTAACTGACAGCGGCTGTTTTGTTCGTGGGATCAGAATTTTTCAGATAGTGTCATGTCAAACTGAAGGCCAATTTCTAAAACTAAAGCTACTAACCGTTTGCATTTCAGTTTTTTGATGTGTTTTGTACCTTTTCATACAAAACAGAGATAATGGATTTTAAAACAAAAAAAAGTACATCTTCTGCAAGAGTTTTTGTCAACAGTGACAATCTACCGGTGATAAGGTCATTTAAAGTGAAGCAAAAAAAAAAATTCAATCGATTTCGTCGTCTGATTGTGAGCCATCCAAATAACAAACACATGACGTGGTTTCATTTTAATTCACTATTTTTTTTAAATATGATTCGTTTATTCAATTTTGGTTCTTCTTCAGCAAAGGAACACAATAAATTGAGAAAAAAATAAAAACAAAAAAATAATATACATATAGTAAAATCCACTGAAGTTCGTTGTGTTTTCTTTTCATTCTAAGGGTAGAATGGATATCATAAAATGTGTCTTGTTTTTTTAGATTTTTTCGGCTATCGGTTTTTGTTTCTCTTTGTTTTCTTTTCAATGATGAACAATATAAATGAGTTTAATGATCGTTATGAGAATCGGTTTCTTTGTTTTTTGTTTTTCACAATGCACACTTATTTTCCATGGGCTTCATCATTTTGCCTAAACTCCTTCCTCAACTTCCTCGCAAAAAAATACATCTAGTGTTTTTTCATTATTTAAAAATTAACATATAGATTCCCTAAATATAGTTTTATGCACAAATGGCATTCGGTTCACATTAAGTTGAAGCGATATTTATGTCGCAACTGTCGCTAGTACCACTGTTATATCATCCGGTTTACCACCTGAAATGTGAGAAGATAGAATATTTATTTAGTTCTCCGTAAAGTTCCGATTTGAATGATATTAGATGAAGGAGTGTATATGCATACCGGTCGCATGGATGTTATTTCGTCTGGCGTTCACGGAAAACGGCGACATAAATTCACTATCAAACGATAGTGACCGAGCCATCAGTGCTATGGCATTTGCAGTCATTTGAAGTTTCACTGGATTACTTTCACCCTCACACTGAAACGAAAGCAACAATTTACATCATTGTATAGAAATCCAAATATGTTAAAAAATTACTTGTACAAAAATAAAGGTACCAAAGTGGTGAACTTACGGTTTTTAATATATCCAGAAGTAAATCGGTTGGTACATTGTCGAAAACACCATCAGTGGCTGCCAAAATGACGTCACCATTTTCGACGGGAAAACTGAGCGAATCGGCTGATTCGGGACTATCACTGAGAACATTTTGTCCGGGCGGTGGCATTGACAATTGAAACGGTGTATTAAAGTAGTGTTGTTGCTCTTCGGATCGATGAATTATTTGACCCTTGCGCACTACAATGAATCCACTGTCACCAATATTCGCCGAGTACACTGTACTATTGTCACGATTTAATATCAGTACACACGCCGTGCTACTACCTATAATTGGAGAAAATCACCATCAATAAGGTTAAATTCGTCTTTTGATTGGCAATCGGTCAACATTTTATAATGATTGCATTTGATTCGACAATGTTTTTTTTTTGTAAGCACACGGTGTAAATTCCAAACTAAATACGTCTTTATGATTGATTGATATATTAGTGCTTAGTGCTTTGTGTATTAGTTTGACTTTGATGCACTGACAACCGCTTAATTATGCAAATCTAATACAAATCTATTTGATTTATTGTGTGTGTGCATTTTCGTTGTGTCCGATTAAAGTAGACAGTAGTATATAGAAATGATAGCAATAGAAATTCAATGTCATTAAAATGTAGATTGTGTTTATAGAGGGAGCAAAAGGCGCTTCAAATGGCTAATGTAAATAACAAATTTGTTGTTTATCGATCCATTTCCAAAGGGTGATAAAGCACAGATAATTAAAATGAAAATTTTGCATTTTTTTCGGTGTTGAATAATGATTGACGTAAATCTGTCTCACACATTTCTCAAATATGGTTTTTGTTCGTCCATAATGTTTGTCTATTTTTATGATATTTGTTTTGTTGATTTTGTTAATTTCACATTGATTGTGCATTCTATGCGGCCTGATATTGCGATTATGTTCGGTTATCACTGGAAGCAATAAAAGCAATCGGGATAAGTCGGCATGATTTCAAAGTGTCTGTCTGGTATTTTGTTTCCTTTTTTCACACTTTTTAATATCTCAGACTTTAACGAAGTTGCTAAAAGCCGATTGAGTTTCGTACAAACAAAGATAATGTAGAACAAAATGGAAGTGGGTTGGTGATTTTTCCTTGTACTTTTCCGAAAAAGCCATTTTTGATTTTAATTGGTTGTCTGTCAAAAATGTTGTCTAAAATTCATAAATTTCCGATAAATTCGAGTCACTTGATTTACATTAATGTCATTTAACAAAAGACGCATACGCGTCATTCCACTGGCATGAAACGATTCGAGAGAATTTTGGACAGGCGCCAGATCGTAATTTGACGTAGTATGATTAAACAGTTAAAATAGCCTTTTATTTGTTTGCATGCATCACTCGTTTCCTCTCAATTCTCATCGCAACTAAACCAGAGAGAGAGAGAAGCAGCGATGAATTCAAAAATTAATTTTGATTGTGCGCTCAATTTTCTCTCTATAATTTTCGACACGAATATTGCATTTACTTCGGCTATTACTAGGTTTCAACTGAAACTCGTATCGTGCAATATAAACTAAAAAATTACTAATAATACTTTTAGTTTGAACAATTTTTTTTATTTTGCATGGTTTTGGTCGGTTTTTGAACATATAAATTGACGTGTTTAAATTTTGAATAAAAATAAACTATACGTTGAGTGATGAAAGGAAGCTATTATTTCCAGCAAATGACTATGTGTTTTGTATAACATTTTTAATAGCGCTGTCGATGTTTCACCTGCACCTTGTGTGCATTTTTTTACAGTTGCAATTCGAAACAATGCATAGATTTATATGTTCAGTAAATATGGCTTTAGTTTACACCGGATGTAATTTTATACAATCCGTTGATATACTTGTGACTTAGAACACATACGGAATATATTCGTTTTGTTATGGACTTTGAACTATCAATCAGTGTACGATGTTTTGTTTTATTCATAGATGCCATATATATACACACACATCAAGCCCGTTACGTAAATCAATTGATCACAAGCGCACCGCTGTTTGCATAAAATTCTTTCGAAGTGAAAAACAAGAAAAGAAAGAAAGAGATATGCAAATGACACTGTGCGCAATCGAATGTTGTTGTTCAAAACGAAACACACATGTGACTCGCTCTATCGAAAAACGTGATCTGACCGCATTTTTGAGTAGTTTCCATTTAAATGATAATCAGAGTAATTTAATGTTTTCTTCTCGATGTCTCCAATACAAATAAAATACGTTTTATTGTATGCAATCAATGTAAAATGCATTCCAAAGTACATTCAATTGAAAACTGTATTTATTTTTTCAATTGATATAAAGACATACCTAAAATTGGTTTCTTTTGTTCTAGCAATTCACAGTAACTGTACGATAATAGACTAACAGGTTGTTTTGGATTGAAATTGGCGGTTTGAACAATACGCTCGCATGTTCGCATCAAAAATGATGAAAATTCTCCCGGATCAATACCATAACTGCGCCATCCACCGACACCGTCAGCTACACCTGCAATGAAAAACAAAATAAACGAAAATTATATTTTTGTAAAAAAATGTATCTCGCTTTTGAAAAAAAATAAATGGAAGAAGAATTTTCTCTCTCATAAAAATTTGATTTTATTTCGAGATGATTTTTTTGTTGTCGTCGTTAAAAAGAAGGTCATTTGACAAGAGCTGTTAGAAACTCGTCAATCCGAAAAAAAACGGCATCAAACTTCCTCATTATTATGAGATCATAGTGTCACGAGTCATCATGATTATTTACATTTCGCTTCAAGCAGATATAATGAACATAATGTAAGTGCACTGTCTTCTCATTGTATGTTTCGTCTCATTCAGCTTCGCCGAAATTGTAAATATCATTGAGCAACGCAGTATGTAATTCAATGAGTTTGGTCAACTGCCAAAACAAACACAAACAAAGACAAACAAACACATGTAAAACTGATTTGTTTTTATTGAGTTTTTTCGCCTCTTTTCTTTCTAAAAATAGTTTTTGTGTATTGTAATTAGAATGGGCTTGTATTAGTACAGCTATGTTCTATACTAGGGGCCTTCTACTATTCGCGAATGGCAAATTCATTCGCAAAATATAAACATTTTCCTATTCATACGTAAAATATACTAAATAAAGTATATTCATTCGCATCAATATCTATGAAAATTCGTATATTTCATTCAAAGCCATTCGCGAATGCCGCATACTGTTTGCGAGATGCGACATATTGCTGTGATTTGTACATAAACATTTCTGTGTTTAGTTTGTATGCGTGATCATTTGCTTCTATTCGCAAAATATGTATGGAACATTCGCTCACATATGCAACATTCGTATAAGTCGGAACCCCCTAGGTTCTATAGCGGTTAGAAAAAAAATGTAAAAGCTTTTTGGCAAAGATTTCGATTGAACATTGAACGCGACGGTCAGTCTATTTTTATAGAAAATGTACGTTCTCCCTGCTTTCACACATTCAAATTTTCACTTCATTTTTGTCATGTGATCCACACAAGCAGACAATGAAGGCATTTATATCGGGATAAAATGAAAGAAAAAAGATATAAATATTCAGATATGCAATGGCCACGTTATATATGACCAAACCATTTTGGAGCTGACGTAAAATACCGACGGTTTTTTTTAAATTGATAGATCAATTGGTATTTCATTTTGAAGTCTTCATTCATATCGTGATTTTGCCGACATTAAAAACGATATCATCTTTTGTTATCCAGTATCAACTGGAGCTGTTCAATTCAACGCGGTTTTAATTAAAATGATAGAATTTAACAATTGACTGTCATAACTTTATTTCCGTACAAAACTCATAAATTCATTAAATTCATCATTATCCACGAACATGCAATGCTTAAATTACACCGAGGCGGTGTGTCTTTATCATCTCGTTTCGTATCCGGGCCGACATTTTAACGAAGCATTCTTTTGTGTCAGAGAACGAAAAATACCATTTGTCTTCTAAACTGACAACCTACACAAATATTTCGAATCTCTAGAGAGAGAAAAAGTGAAGCGATTGAGATTGGTGAGACGTGCTTATAAATGCTCGCATACTGAAAATTCAATATATTTTTGGATTTCGTTCAGAATAATGTAATTGGTATTTATTTTAACCGAATATATCCGCGATAACAATGGATAATTACTATTTTTATGTATGAGTGGCTCAATTCAGGTGGTAGCAATTGAGAAAGCGGATCTCAATTAAGCCAATTTCAAACAAAGTGGAAATCTCAAAATAAATAATCACATGATGAAAAAAAGCTACTGAAATATTAAATGATATGCCGTTTATGATGTGAAATAGAACGGAAAACGCATTGATGGAAATGAGATGCACAAAAAACGTGAAATTCATATTTTAAAAAACGCCATTTTTGTTTGCATAAAGCTCTTTTACTTGTTCGAATATTTTTTTGAGCAAAAAAAGACTTGCACGCACACCGATCGCAGAGAGAAAAAAATGATCAGTGTCACCGATGTGATACCGTGTAGTTGAGTCAACATTTGAACAAGTTCGTTTCGTTTTGCGATTACATTCAATGCAATCAACAACTTTCTAACCCTATTTTTTCAGAATTCTCGTTTGCTTCATGCAAACTTCATTTATTTTGCACTCGATCGTCGTGTTATGCACAAACGTGCAAAAATTTACATTAATCGCTCCGAATAAAAAGAATCAGCACGCTGCGGTTTTTTAAAATGAGCATTTTATTTTGCTTTTGAATAAAACCGTGAAATATTCAGGCCATTGGTGATGCAGTGTCTGGCCAATTTTATTGGTATTTTAAGACTTTGTGGAAATAGTCTCAAAACCAACATGTGTCGACTTCAAAAAGACCAAATGTACTCACACATTTGGCAGTATTATTTTCTTTCCTTGAAGCAAATTGTAATATGTGTGGGAGTTTATGAACTGTAGGACGAGAACAGTTGGCAATGTTCATTGCGATAATAAATCATTTCGTTTGTCTATAGATTTTTTCTGTTCTTGAGACAGTTTTTTCTGCTTTCGTTCGCTTCCTTTTACAATATCAATTTGCAATATATATTCATGCGCATTTCTATGAGATATATTCAAACACGTGTCGGAAATCTACTGAATAAAGTTCCATTCGAATTTGATTAGCGATTCTCGACTATCGAAAAATCATTGGAAAAAAACACATCGTTTTTTCCATCCTAGGCGCTGAACTTCATTATTTCACAATATTTATTACGGTCGTGAGAAATTTAGAGACAAAAAAGGCCTCCAACTTATTTCGTATGCGGCAGTCTACAGATCTTCTCTGACCATTGTTAAGGTTTTTATGTGTTTTACGATGCTTAGAATATGTTCAAAACATTCGAAACGCTAAAGAAACATTTTAACAGCGTACTTAAACGATTCCAAACACTCAACGCTTACCGCATATACACAGACAGCTGAATGGAAAAAAGTTGAATACGCATGTGACGAGCGAAAGCGTCCAGATTGAAGAAAGAGGGAATGAAATAGATAACCAATCTAAACAAACTAGAAAAACAAAATACCAAAACAAACAGCTCTATGAAACGGAGCTGTGTTGTTTATGGTCTCGCACAGCGATCATTTGAAATGTTCGAAAGCCGGATTGTACTTTGATGTCGCTTTTTTTCGGAGTTTTGCTGTGTATCGATTGCGAAACATTGTACGCGTTTTATTTTTTTAATTCTCGTTTCAGGTAATCGTCTGACAAACTCTTCAATCCAATTCTAAAGTGACAGACATTTCTGTAGCTCATTTGAGTTTCTTAAGAAATTCAGGTTGAAATTATTCCGACTTTTTTATGAAAAAAAAAAAAAAAAAAAAAAAAAAAAAAATTTACACATTGAATTCTCTTTGTGAACTTCATTGAAAACCAACTGATCAAACAAGCACCAAAGCGGACGACACATATGATCGTAGATTAGACGCTCATTTTTTTGTATTTGTATGTTTGTAAAAAGTGACTGCAAACTGTAATTCTATTGGTTTGGCGGAATTTTGCAAACAAAATATAATGCATTTAGAAATTGCTCGACAAAATTACTCTATTATCTGAATGAGCATGAAAAATGTAATTGCATTTATAATGTTTGACGTTTTGAATTCAGACAAATAAACAACAGCTAGATTAGATTAGATTAGATTTATTTCACCGCCAAGTGCTGGCTGAACTTAGGTATTTTTACAGAGTATATATATAATATATGTATAATAAGAGTTTAAGTTAAATAATCAAATAGTTAGGTGAATATAATAGTTGAAAATGATATAAATACATAATTTTTTAGGTGAAAATAAATAATTTGTTAGGTGTAAATATCAATTGATAATCAGTCAGACTAGAAATGAGAAAATAATTGAATTATTATCATGACTAAAAAAAATTTTTTAAAGTATTTTTCTTTCTTTTTTGGTTTTGTTTTCCATTGCCTTTCTCCCTAATTTAATTCTAATTTTATTTCAATATATCACAAATGTATGCAATCAGCTTCACAAACTAGCCCATGATCCAAAAGCAGAATCAGGGAGACTAAGGAGCTTTTGTCGAAATTGATAGTGTGGCAACGATGGATCGATGAATAGAGAAGCATAGTTGAAGATACGACAAGCATTATTGAATGGCGATTGAGTGGAATGATCAGTGCGGCATGTTTGGAGACGAATAAATTCAGGATTGCGTAGTGTTCTAGTTCCAGTGTTAAGATTTATTTGAGATAGGGCTAATTTGAGATAAAAGGAAAAAAAGGCGAGAGAGAAGGTGCAAAAAGAGAAAATAAAGAGCTCATTGTGCAATAACTTTTCATTCATTTGAAACGGTCATCTTGAACACATTAAGGAACAAAACGAAAATTCTCTCGTAATATCGACTCATGTGACAGTCAATGATATACACATAGAGTAAAATGTCAAACGATAAATGAAAAAGTCATTTCATTTAATATGTGCGTGTATATTGTAGATTTTGTTTGGTATATACAGTAAAATTGTGTTGCGTTTGTGTGACATTAAAGCAGGTCTAGGCAAAACTCAAAGTCCATTCATAAAATGGTAAGTGTTGTGCGACCAATTTTATATGGTTTGGTAGAAGTAAAGTAAATACATTTGAACACAATTAAAACAGCCGTTTCGATCATATGACTTGTTTTTTTTTTCATATACACAGTATATTATTTATCGAATTTTGTTCTCGTCGTATCGTAGTCGGTGCCTTTGCCTTTTTATCTGCTTTGGCACGGCCTATATAAACATAATTGCACAAATATAATCATAGCTTGTGATGTGAATCATGGCATATATGCATGCAAATGACAACATCGCTGTTTCTCTCTTGATTCCCATACGAATTATAGCGTGACATGAGTATTAAATAAAAGCAATACTGTTAATTGCTAGAAATTATTCTGTGATGCTTAAGATGATTGCGATTGTATTTGAAGACTTCGTGCTAATTAAAAATATCACTTTCAGAATAATAAGAACTTTAAAATCAGTCTCAAAAAATTCACTGTCTTGCAAGATATGTTCATGACATTTGGTGTTTGCTTCAATTATGACTTCATTTTTATTATTGGGCGCCGTAATTTTTATTGTTCTTTCTGAAAGCAGAATGTTCTGAAAAAATTCCGTGCTGAAATTTTGTGCGATGTTTCGATTGGTCTTAAGCACTTTACACCAATTATCAGCATTCGACCGAATGAATTTTCATGAGCGAATCAAAATAAAATTTCATTGTACTTTATTCTCTTTAAATGTTTCCATTTTATGACTCACAATTGTAAAATCGTTCTAAAAAAACTTGTTTCTTTTTCATTGCCTTGAGACAGAGCAATTTGATAAATATATGTGTCTTGATGTGGTTATGCATACGGAATGCTGAGAACATTGTTTTATATCAGTATCACATTAATAGAAACGCTTATTCCAACGCCGGTTTCAATGTGAAAGACCTGTTTCAATTCGCAACTGCATGCGAACGAACAAAAAAAATAAGACAGATAATCACAATACACACAGTGAGTTTTTGCTTTGAGCGAGCGGATTTTTCCCCGGTAATGTTCCGTTCTCTTTATCATAGTGTATTCGCAATGACGGTCACACCTCTAGAATGAAATGATTGAGCATAGTGTAAACAAGTTGAGTGGTGTATCGTATATTTCCAATCAATTTAATTGTGATATAAGAATCGAATTATCAATATATTGCACGACATGAAGAAGAAGAAAAAGTGCCAATAAAAGACCTTTGATATTTTGCGATTGTGCGGAGTCATCTTTGTAAATCAATTTATGCATTGATTCAACGTGTAAAATACTCTGGTCTTTGCGCTTAAATTGCGTTAGGATTTTACTATTGTTTATATTCTGCGTTCATATATGACGATCAAATACGGAAAATCTCTTTATAAGGCATTGACTTGATACCAGTTTCAAAGTCACCGAAAAATGCTAATTGAACGGTCTGTTACGACTTTGGACTCGAGACAATAACAAGCCAGTATACCAAAAATAAAATTCATTCAAATGTTGTAGAATAATTTGGTTCAAAGCAAGTTTGGCCAGAGACCCCAAAAAAATCGTTTAACAGAACTAGTCACATCCAGCAAAATTTTAATTTATGCTGTATCATGGTTTTAGCTTTTAAAATGTGACTACACGCGATCGATTTATCTATTTATAACGTTGTCATATTGTCATCTACAAACAAGATGACACAGTATGCTGGTGTCAGTGAGTGCAACATCGAAAAAAGTGAACACAAATATGATGGCTGCAGTGTAATTTGAAACGATGCACTCAAAGAGGAAATGCGATAATGATGAAGAAAAAAATCAATATGCACTTTTTAAAATAACAAGAAAAAAAGATAGTCAGAGAGAGTCATAATTCATGTCGTATGGCACATGTGTTATGTAAGACGAACGAAAAAATCATCCGGGTTCAAACAAAGAACTTTCTCATTTCATACAAGACACACAGCCAAGCAGCGATGACGATGACGACGTCGACGTTTGTACTCTGTCGTATACAGCACACCCTTTGCGTTGTGCGCACTTGAATTCGATTCGATTCGTTTTACGCACATCATCAACAATGAAATGCACAGATACACATACACAGCACCGAACAAAACATTGATACTAATAAAAAGAAATGAGCACGGTATACAATCGTAAACTGGAACAATGTCTTTTTTCTTCATCTACATGTTGTTTATTCATTCATCATTTAAACTTATCAACACTTACCGATGACGTCTGAATTTTGTGTTGATGCAATGAACCAGGCATCTTCACCGAATCTACCCAATTGGTATTTCGTTCGTAGAAAATCTTTGGGAAAACCACACGCAACCGATACAAAGTGTGGCTTGACTTTATTGCTTGGCTCCACCAGTGTCGAGAAACCACTTCGCAATGCTCGCGATACAAGTCTAGTTGTCCAGCAAATCGATTGCATTTTCTCCTTTCTTCTTTTTTCTTTCCTTTTTGTTTTTGTTACAAACGTTTTTTGTTTTTCTTTTCACGCACTTTTTTTTTCGTTTTGTTATTTCTGTTTCGCTTTATTTGTATAATTACACAGCGTTTCGTTTAAAATGGCAAATCAATTGCAGCACCAGGTTGTTCGCGCATGAATTGCCAACGGAATCGCTTATTTATATTTTTTTATTGAATGAATTTATTCCATAAGACTGACTACTTTCTTCCGTGATTGTTGGTTAATAAAACTCCAATCGGGTCATGTACGGACAATTGATGATTGCGTTGCTGGTGAAACGAACGAAATTTCAATGCGCTGAATTGGAACATTTATGGATGATTGAGATTGAATTGGTAACAATGATGACTTGATTCAATTTTTTTTATTTTTTTTTTTGTTTTTTCTCATTAATTTTCTGCTCCCCATTCACGCAATCACACTTTTATATATTTTTTTCGTTTCCGTTATTAAAATACACTCACACCATTTGTATATTTGTTTTGATTTTAATTTTATTCTGATTAAATGGAAATTTTGTGTGTGGTCGTTTCAATGATCAAAAATCCAAAGCACAATAAATTTTAAAGCTGATATTAATCGACGTCTTTCGTCTTTTGACACGCTCATCTTTAGAAGTCGTATTTGATGGTATTCTACGTTCTCGCTTTTGTTCACTTCAATCACACAAAAGAACTTTTTTATAAATTTTTTATTCGAAATGAATTTTAATTAAACTTTTCGTGACCAAAATATATACATATATGTCTGGCGATAGCAATCGATTTTATTTGACGGCCAAACGAAACGAAAAAGATGTGTTATTGATGATATGAGTATGAAACTTGCTCTACGTTTTCGACTGAGGTCCAAACTAATAGGAATAATGAAGACAAACGCGAAATAAAACCTCGTGATGTGATCCGAACATCATTACCGTGCGAGCAGTTCGATTCGAGTAAGTCAGCTGTCGAAATGTTGTATTGTGCACAGAGCGAGACCAACATAGCAGAAAAAATGGCCGCCAGTGTTGAAGTATTAGAACGCAGATACAGGCAACTGAAGATAATCAGCCACCATGAGTTGCACAACACATTATTCGTATAAGAACTGCGTCGTTTGTCGACTCACTACGGTTCGTGTGTATGCTTGTGTCGTATTTCGAACACGGTGGTACTAGATTATCAAATGAATTGAATAGACGCAATAAGCCTATAGCATGTGATTCAGCACATCAAAAAGCCTTTGGATTTGCCTTTTTTTCAATTGAATCGGCATCTCTTGCAATATACAATAAAATAAATACAAATCAATTAATTATGAAAATTCACAAATATTTGAATTTATTGTTGCAAAACCCTTACAATATCAAAATGTTCTATTTCGTTTCCAGATTTTTGGAATGAGAATTTATAAAAATCAATTCGAAAATGAATTCTTTTATTAGACTGAAATACTTTTGATGATGAAATTTTATAGAAATTATTATTTAGAGATGTCCCTATTCGTGAGTATTACACAAATCAATGCCACCGATGTCTTCGTTCAGCATGCTCGGCGACGTTTCTACCAGATTTGATTCACTGAAAACAAACAAATGACATTGGAATTATTCAATTTGGTTCATTTTACACCGTTTTCGGTGGTAGCTCACCTATCGAGACTTGGTTCATTGCTGAACATTTCGGTGGGTACCGTTGCGGGTGCCTCCATTGGAACCATTCCAATCAGTGATTGTTTCGATTGTAAATGCCGTTCAACTTCTTCGGCAGTCATATGGCCATCGGTTATTGTGTCTGTATTTATGACAGTCGGTGCACGTACTGTTGTGTTATTCGCTTTCTTTTGGGTTTGTTTTCGTCGCTTCGGTGCAGTGTTTTTATTTTGAGCAGCATTTGTTGTACTGTTTTTTCGCCTGAATTTGAAAATTGAAAGAATAATTAATACCAAAGAATGATGAATTAATCTTTATACTTTATCAAAATGCGTAAAAAATTAAGTGATATTTTCAATTCTGGTGTTTCGCACTTACTTTCTCACATTTTCGGTACGACTACCGTCATCTTCGCTTGACTCCGTATCGTCATCACTGTCAGACTCAGAGTTCTCTGGTTTTTCATATTGTAACAATCGATCAAGCAAAAACGAACGATCTCGTGTAACTTTCAGCAAACGTCGCTGGCTTGAGCGAAGGGCGTCTTGAAAAAATTCATTCTCCTAAAAATCACAAAATCAATTGAATTTCATCCTTAATTCGTGGAATAATAAAAATGTATAAAACTTACATAAAGTAAAAACTTGAGCTTCTTTTTCAGTGCGATGTACTGTGCTTTGTAGTCAACACGGGGCATCAAACGTGCCACTGGAATGTCCTGGCTATCATCGTCGGAATCATCGACAACATTCGGTTCATTGTCATCGTCATTATCATTGTTTCGTGCTGCATTTTGACTTGCCATTGATCGACAGTACCAACCATCCAACATTTTGCTCCTTCTTCTCAAAATTCCTCACAACAACTCTTGAATCTTTCGATTATGGATAACTTATTTTAGCTTATTAGTCAGACCGTCTGACAGCAAGTGAAGCTGTTCTGTAAACATCTATGACAGTAGTTTCAGTGACATTTCAATGATATGCGTATATCAAATATTGTAGTAGAATGAATAACTGGTACATTTGAAGGGTTTTAAAACGTCACAATGGCCTCAGTAAGGCTTTGTCATTGGAATATTTTGGATAAGTTGAAGAAGACGGTTTGTTGTAAATAAAATTGGTGCATTTTAACATAAAGAGAAGTCCGTTTTGCTTTTTAATGATCTGACATGACAACATTTTGAGAACTTTTTAAGATATTGGTCGATTTTTTGGGACAGAGAAGTTTTTACCTTTTTTTTTCTTCATTGACAGTGTTCAGAAATTCTTACCTTGTTACTTACATTTTTTCCGGTAATCGTCATCTTTCTCTGCGCTAATATCAATTCAAAAAAAATTAAAAGACAAAAAAAAACGCTTTGAATATTTTTTTAAAGATTTTGTTGTGTATATTTCATATTTCAAATGAGTGAATTTTATTTTTAGAAATTAAAAAATAAAATATTTTTATTTATGCTAAAAATAGTCCATTTTGCTTGAATTGTATTTTCCTTCATTGAACTGTTATGTGTGTTGAGTTCGAATTTATTTAAATTATTGAAAAATGCATGAATGATCGCATTGTTTCATCTTTTTTTTATTATTATTTTCATAAAATTTTTGTTTTTTTTCCATTTTCTATTCATGTTTTCATTTAGTAATTCTATGCTTAAAACTTATGGCTAAAAAATTGAGCTCATCTACACCATTGCATTCGATTAGATGTTACCTTCTCGAGGGATAAAATTGCATGAATCTGCTACCATTCAATTCAAGATCCAATTGACACAACCAATCGATTATCGAATTCCACTTGACTTTCGACTCAATAAAATGGCTAAATGCTTAAATATGAATGAAAAAGTGTGGGTGTATGGATTTTTATCTCTATTTTGTTTGTGAATTTATTGGAAATTGATAGATAGTATTCGAATAAACGAATCGATCGTTTACACAAAATATGACACACATTTAATGCAATTGTGTAAATATTTGAAATTATTTTTAGCCTATAAATTGATCATGTAAATTGTGTTATTTTTTTTTTCTGAGGTATATCGCAAAAAGTTAGAGTCCATTTAAACGTATTTAATAATTATTATTTATCGTTTAGCTCTTTCATGTTTTGTTGGCATATTTTTTTTTTGTTTTGAAATGTAAACTGTATTCGGTGTTTACTGTCTTTTGCCTCTGATTTAAAATTTCTTTTTAGTTTTCATCTTTAAAACGCTTAATTCGATTAGTAAAATAGAATGTTTATCTTTTACTTGACATCGACACAAAGAAGTGATTGTAAATTGTTGTACTGTCACAAAGGCAGCTCGGTTACATTTGAACTGAGTGATTGACTTTTATTTTGGGGTCTTTTATTTTTGTTGATTTTTGTTTATTGGTATGATTTAGTTACGGAAAATTTCATCGGTTCGTATCTTGAGAGTTGGTCGATTGCGTTTCATGTGAAATGTTCTGTAACTAAGGTCGTCAATTACCGAATGGACTTAATTTCTAAGAAATCGAACACACAAGCCTCAATGGGAGTGGACAGTGCATCGACCACAGTAATCTCTTCTCTAGATTAGCTTATCGGTCGGCCGTATAAATGCGGGCACCTTTCATCCAAACTCTCATCGGTGACAAGTGCTGACATTTTGTTTTGTTTATCAATTATAAATGACACCTGAATTCGCCTGAATAAAAAATTGTACAGTTTTACAGTGCAAATCATTAAAGAAAATAGGAACCTAAGTAATGTAAACAAAAAAAAAGAAGAAACACATCAACAAACTGACAAAATTGAAAACGATGAACGATTTTGAAGATTAAGAAGAACAATATTCAAATGGAAACATTTTTCGTTTTAAAGATAAAAGTTGAAATCTTTTGTCCTGAAAATTGTTTGAAATTAAATAAACAAAATAAAAAAAAGAATTGCACATGAAAGAATTTTATTTGCCATCTATCAGAAGTTGATTTGACAAAAATAGTACGGAATAGTCCATATATAATTATCGGTTGCTACCGAACATCGGAACACCACTTCATAATTTCAAAGCAAAAACTTAAATTAAGTTATAGATCTCATACTTTGTAGTTTCATAAACATGTCGTCTTCAATTTTTGTCGTATGTCTTCGATCTAACTGCTGATCGCAAGTGCTTTCATATATCTCATCTGATTTTTTTTCAATTATTTTTTGTTTGTTAAAATTTAGTATACAAGTATAAACAGACATTGAAATTGTTTTTTATTATTCATATATTCACTTATAATTCTATATGATAGTAATATTAAGCTGTTTTTCATCTCTTTCATCTCTTGTATGTAAGTTTTAACAAAATCTCAAGAATATTTACACAGTTTTCTCTTTAGATTAATGTTTAGATTTTATTCAATTAATGTTAAATTATTTAATAAGTTTTAACGCTAAAATTCATAAATTCGGACTTTTTTCTTGTTGTTTTAGCTTTTGTTTCATTTGCTTTTCGAATTGTTATTGTATTTTGTCGTTTTATAAATGATTTGCATTTTGAATTTGAACCATGTGTATTATCTGCTTCAAATTTCCATTTTTCTGTTCTTTGTGTGCAGAAATCTATGGCGTGTTTCTTTTCCTGGCATCAGTTTTTTTTGTTATTCTTGTCATTTAATAGAATTACAGATTCAAAGAGTTTCGAAGAGAAGAGTTTCTCACGAAAAAAATGGGTAATTTTTAAAGAATCACGAGCAACCGATTTGAGCTGAGTGTCACATCAGTTTGAGCCCGGGCAATTCCCTGGTATCCACTACAATTCGTAGAGGAAAATTCGCTAGAATTTAGATTTAGATATGATTGCATTTTGTTTAAAGAAAACCTGCACTAAAAAAATGAGAAAAAAAAATCATAACATTCTTCTTTTTGTCGCACATCCAAATAAGTTTAAAATCTTTGGTAGCCAAAAAATCACTAACACAAATAAATTTATTTAAAATTTTGTTTACTTTTTTTTACTATTCATCGTCTTCAATTTTCATCTAAAATTTTCCATTTTCATCTCCTGCTCATCCTACAAATTACAAACTTTTTCAAACCGAAAAAAGAAGTATTTTTTGTTTGCTTTCTCCCAAATTTTTTTTTTAATTAATAATGATCTAATCAGTTCTTTGAAAATTAATAACATTTTATTTTCTTTATGTAAAATTTAATGCAATCACAGATGTTCGAAAAGATTTTTTTTAGTTTTTAGCTTTTTTGTCGTCGAAAAGAGTTTTTTTCTTTCGGGGAGGTATTCGGAGTTGTTTTTTTTTTCTTTTTTTTTTTTTTCATATTTTTCATTCTCGTTTTGCTACAGGCGAAACATTTCGTTTAATAAAATTGAAATTAAAATGATATGTAGTCAGGTGTTTGCCTAAAGAAGATACTAAGAAGAGGTGTGCTTTGAAAAGTAACAGAATCAAACATGTGAAAAAGTGGTGTGAAAAGTCCTTGTTGTGAAATCAAGATTACTTAAAAAGTGATTGTGTTCCCAGTCACTTGTATGGGTATCGCGCCTAGCACACATTCTGTGAGCGGTTTGCGTTAAAAACCAAATGTCTAACTATGAATCGTTGGCCCGGTTAAAGTCCTACATAATAACTCTACTTATGAGGAAAAAAGAATATTTATTAACGAAAAAGAATTACAAAGTGAAAATAAACAGACATTTTCGCAAAGTGTTATAGTGAGTTCGAGATCTCAAATAGAAAGAACTAAAAAAAAGGAAGAAACTGCCTCTAAAACAATTGACAAATGATGGCAGCGTAAAGTTGGTTTAATGCGATTTATATCAATAAGCCCATCGGTTTATTTACAATAAGTATGAAATTCGGTGTGCGCACCAACTTTCGATTTGTTTATCGGCATGTCTCCTTTCACGTCAAATATATGTTGAATTGGGCGATTGAATGATCGCCTAATTTACATTTAAAAATAGCAAATTACATCAATACCAGCTACTAAAATTACTTTTATATATTTGTTGTTGTTGTTTTTTTTCTCCACATTTTTTTTTTGTATTATACGTAAAATATGCAATTTTCATCTTTCATTCATTCGTTTACTCTTCAATAAATCTAATACGTGTATAAGAAATGTTTCTGTATTTTATTTTGATGTGCGTGTATGTGTGTCTGTACCCTGAAGAAAGTTGATAACATTTTACCGAATTTTTTCTTTGTTTGTCAAAAGTTCAAATTATTTTTGGAAATAAAAATCAAGATATTTTATATACGGGCAGATAATTACTATGGCATCTCTCATCAAGGTGTTAAATATTTGACTTTTTTTGAAGTTTCGATTATATGAAATCAACGCTGTCTCTCTTTGTAAATATATTTTCTCTGTATGTATATAATTTGATAAGCCAAAACAAAAAACAGTTTGCTACATCACAGTTTTTCTCAAATGATTGGCAACCAAAGAAAAATGATTTGTACATTTCGTTTTCAAGGTCGATAAAAGTGTTCCTGAATGAATATTTGATATACATATTTTTTTTAAATTAGATTTTTGAGTACAGCCGTTGACATTCGTATAAATGCTCCAAATTTAAATCGAGTACAAGAAAGGAAAACGCAATTTGTTCGATATCCAATTGTCGTTTTGAACGGGATTGAGTTGGTACTCGATTTGGCTACAAATTATTGATGTTCTGAGCAAACGATTTGCGCTTTAGTTTTCTTTTTTTGATATGGACGCAAAGTGTGCACGTGAAACGGTAGAGAGTAGCCCGTTATTTCTTGATTTTTTATTCTTGTTGTTGTAATTATTTTTAGTAAGAAATACGTTGAGACGTTGTTTCTAATATAATTTGTTTTATTATTAAGCTAAAGTTAATACATATAAAACTTTTTTTCGTGATTCACCTGAAATTTGTTTCCTGATTTTTGTATGTTATTCTCTTTTTTTTTGTAAATAGTTCTTTTCATTTATGTCTCTCTATGTTCGTTTCATTTTTCAA